TGGGGGGTGTGCAAGAGGCAGCTGGTCAATGTTTCTCTCTCATCAATGTTTCTAGCTCTCTATCTCTCTCTCTTCCTCTCTGTAAAAAATCAATAAAATATATTTTAAAAAAATAAAGGGAGATGAGGAAACGTTATTGGAAGCTGGAGGAAAGGGAACCCTTGTTTAGTGGTGGAAACTGGCAGCACTGCAGTCTGTGGGAATGTGGAAAAGAGGAAGTAACTGAGCACATGAACTCCACCATGTAGGTCAAGAGGTCTCCAGGCAGGTTAAGGAACGTGTCACTTGGTTTCTTCTCTTTGCCTCTGGAAAAATAGCTCTGGCCAAGAATAGGACCTTACCAACCTTGGTGAAGATCTCAGAAAGATCTGAGGGCTGCAGAGGAAACCCAGAAGAGAAGAGTTTATCTTGAAGAGATCTGTGGTTGCAGTTTTTGTCCAATAGCGTAAACCTCAAGAGATTCATAGAAACCCCACAAAATTTTAAGAGAATTGCTCTGACGAAAGTGCCTCCGGTTTGAATGAAAAGGGGCAAGTGAAGTACAACATGAAGAGAGACCTTTGAACTCAGCCTCTTTTTACGAGCAGGAAGCAAGCTGGGAAGAATGCTTAGTTGCAACTGCATTGACTTATGGAAAAGAAAGTAAAGATGCAGAGGCAAAATCCAAGAGCCCAGAGGGTGGGGACGAGGCCGTGGTGAACAAGTTACAAGCCATCGGATTGATTCCAGAACAAGGAACAAGCAACTCATGCCCGTCTAGATTTCAGAATTACTATGGACCAGTGGCACCCCCTCTTACCCCTGGTGTGTTCCCCTTTCCAACTTTTTGAACAGGAGCATCTATAGCGGTTTTCTATGCCTGTCCCATCATCGCACAATGAGTGTATAGTGTGTGCCTGCAGATAACTTATATCTTTAATTCATAGATCATAGATCCAGAGGAATGGCACTCAAGGGACTATACCCAAAGAATAACATCTGAGGTGCCTCATCTGCACCTAACCTTGACCTGGATGATGAAATGCTGGACTTCAGGCTGATGTCATAAATTTGGAAGTCTCTAGGGCGGGGGGAGGCAGGGAGTGATGAATGTATCTTGCAAATAGGAAGATTGTAAATTGTTGCCAGAGAGGACTGTGGCAGATTTTATTTTGCAAAATGACCAAAACAATGATCTCCCACACAAGTGCTCTTCCTATAGTGTGATCCTAACATCCTTCCCATGATGAGGTGGGTTCCACATTCCTCCTGCTTAAATCTAGGTGGGTTTGTGACTAAGGCAGAAGCGACACCGTGTGACTTCCAAGCCTAGGTGATAGAAGGTGAAACAGCTTCTGTCCCGTCCTCTTGGAAGCTTGCTCTTAGAACCTCTAGAATCATGGGAGGTACAACCACTGTTTTGTATCAAGCCACTGAATTTTGGGGTCAACAATGAGTGGCTGATACAACTGGAATGACAAGTATGTAGAAAGACTAGAGGCCCGATGCATGAAGATTCTTGCAATGGGCCTTCCTTCCCTTGGCTGCCAGCACAGCCTTTGCTCTGGCCCCGAGCTGCCTTTCCGCCTTCCCACTAACCCATCTTTGTTGGGTTAATTTACATACTCACTCCTGATTGGCTGGTGGGTGTCACAAAGATACAGTTAATTTGCATCTTACTTGTTTATTAGTATAGATAATTCACTCAATACATTGAGCACTTACACTGTGCCAGGTACTCTTCTAAGCACTGTGGCCACAAAACAGACTAAAATCTCTGCTGTCATGGGCCGTACATGCTAGTGGGGGAAATAGACTATGAACATATATGACACGTTAGATAATGATAAACACTAAGGAGAAAATAAAGAAAAGGAAGAGAAATGAAAAACAAAGGTGGTATATGAGTTGTAATTTTAAGTAGAGTGGACAAGAAAGGACTCAGGGAGGTAAGGGAGTGAGCCATGTTGGGATCTGTGGGAAGAGAATTCTTTGTAGAGGGAGTAACAAGTTGAAGGGCCCTTGCAGGGATGGAGAGCAAGCCTAAGGAGGGTCAAGAGGCCAGGATGGCTTGATGGTTGGAGCATGGGGAAGATGAAGGATATGAGGTCAGAGGGATGATGAGGTGGGAGTATATTGCCTTCTAGGCGATTGTGAGGGTTTCTATTATGCTGAGAGGATGAGGAAGCCATTGGCAGGTTCTTAGTACAAAAGTTTGAGAAAAGAGGAGAGGGGAGAGACAGGGGGATGAGCTATGATGCTATTGCAATGATCCAGGAAACTACTTACACTGACTCAGACCAGCAACAGCAGTGGGCCTGGTTGAGTTTGTTGGTAGAGCTGATAAACCGTGGACAGACTGGATAGGAAGAGAGGACCACAGGAGTCAAGGATGACTCCAAAGCTTTTGCCCTGTGCGACTCGAAAGGATGGAGTTGCTATTCATTGTGATGAGGAGGCTGAGAGGAGCAGGCTTGGGGTAAAGTTTAAGGAACTGGCTTGGACATGTTCATTCCGAAGGTCTGCTGTGAAGAGAGAGGGCTGGGCTAGACTAGAAATGAGGGGTCATCGATGAGTGGCTGGTAATGAAGCTGTGAGATTCAATTCTCTAACCATTTGAAATGAGGATTGGGTCTGGAGCTTGACCCCAAGGTCAAAGCTCCTTCTAGAAGGCTATGTTGCTTCTCTACACCTCCTCGGGCATCCTGAACGGGGACCATTCTGGTGCACTGCCATCCAGCAGGAATGATCAGCTTCTGAGGCTCCGATGGCCTGGTTCACGGCCACTATACTCCCTCCCTCATACAGCTGCTGCAGATCAAATACATCAATCACTTACCTAGTCAGTGGGGCTTACTTTTCTCACCTTAGCACCCTCCATAAAACACTGTGAAATTCATTATTTTATGAACCATACCCAAACATTACAAAATGTGAACAAAATAATGGGCCTGGCTATCTTTTCAAAAGATATTTTACCAACTCCTGCTTAAAACCCACACAAGAGTGAGTCATAAAACGCGTGAAAAGCTAGTTTGATCATCTTTCTGTCGGGCTCTCCTCTGCTCCTCAGAGCCTCCTCCTACGGGACCATCTTCCTTGAAGTCAAGATCTACTTTATTATTTTTAAAATATGTATAATTTTATAAATAGACACTGGACGGTTATTGTTGTATTGGCTGTTGTCATGGTTTTTGTTTGTTTTATATATTTTATTGTTTTTTTTACAGAGAGAAAGGGAGAGGGATAGAGAGTTAGAAACATCGACCAGCTGCCTCCTGCACACCCCTACTGGGGACGTGCCCGCAACCAAGGCACATGCCCTTGACAGGAATCGAACCTGGGACCCTTCAGTCCGCAGGCTGACGCTCTATCCACTGAGCCAAACCGGTTTCGGCAAGATCTACTTTAAATGTACTTGTAATTTATGCTAATATCCATCATTAACAGATTGAAGGCTACCACAAGTTGCTATAAAACAGCAACCCTGAGACTCTTAAAAATAAAAATCCCAAACATCTTCCCCTTTGATAGTAGCCGGCAGAATATTCAAAGCCAGGCATGCATAAGAAGAATAAAGCAGCATCCAATTACACTCCTGGACAGGTGGGGCATGCAAATGAAATGACAGAATCGATGCCTCTGAAGATTTACAATCTGGATGGAGAGGAGACAATACATATTCCTGAGATGGATTAAAGAAACATTAGACATAGAAGCCAGCAAACATCATCATTTTATAGGCATATAATATTGTTTCATAAAAGGTAGACAGCTTAAGGTTGCCTAGGACCAAACCCGAGAGGGCTGGACCTGTATTACATCATTTGTCCACAATCCAGAACTGAAATATCATTGCTGACATGTACACATAAGGAACTGTTTGACATTGAAATTGGGACTCAAAAGAACTGTTGGCCCAGAAAGAAACTCACTACAGACTGATTCATTTGCCTCTCAGCATAACCATTATTGCTTGTCTCATTTTCGGTTCTTATAAATGCATTTCTAGTATCACATGAGCTCACTAGAGGAAGTGATGAACAACATAGACTGATGAACAAGAACAGCATCAATCAGACTGTCAGACCTCAGAGGGAAGGTAGGGGGGGATGGGAATAAGGGAGAGAGATCAACCAGAGGATGGGTGTGCATGCATATGAGCCTGGGGCTGTGGGGGCCTGTGTGGGGAGGGGTTTGAGATAGGAATGGGGGGGATGAGGACAAATACGTGAACCTTAATAAAGTAATTAAAAAATGAATTAAAAAAAAGTAAACAGAATTATCTGCATGGATTACAAATGTTTTTAATTTTTGTTTATATTCTCTGAAATTTGTTTATATTCTCTGAAATTTTTGCTATAAGGAACACATTTTATATATATATATATATAATTTTTTTTTTTTGGGGGGGGGGGTATGATTTAGTCCAAACATGCTGAAATGGTGGGAACATGGCGGCTAAGGGCATGGGCTCCGAGTCTGAACACCTGCTCTTCCACTACCTGGCCAGGTAACTTTGGACAAATTACCTAACCTCTCCATGACCACATCTGATCTGTTTAAAACAACAACAAAGATAATAGTATCGTCTTTTTGAGGATGAAATCATCAATACAAAGGCCGTTGGATAGTGCCTGGCACATAGTCATACCATTTAAGTGCTCCCTATATTATCACATGAGCTGGGAGATCCGGCTTTATAAACTGCAGCGCCTGAGAAAATGCTTAGGAAATGGGTTGAACTTGAGTAAGAACTTGAAAGGTCAGGGGAGAGATATTTTAGATAAGGGAGCAACTGGAGAACAGCAGACACAAGATGTTAAAGCTCAACCCCCTCAGACAAGCAGACAGCGGAATGAGAACCAAATGGAGCATCAACTCACACAAATCCCAGTGTTTGCTTTCCAGCACAGCCACTCCTACCGGGCTCCGGGGAGAGAATGCACCACAGGCACACTCAGCTAGCTCTTATTTATCCACCCCTTTGTTTTCCACGAAAAGAAGAGACTCAAAGAAGATGCCTTCTAAGTGTGTATCACCATTTATTGTAGTTTGCATTAGGAAATGAACAGAAGACACTGTCTGTGGAGGGGGGAAAAAAGGAAAAGAAAAAGAAAGTTTTTGTAGATTTAATTTCTTCAAAACACTTTATGGTTTCAAATCCTTTTTTACCCCAAAGGAAATTAGAGAATTCAAGTATGTTAAGTAGGGAGCAGTAATACAAAAAGTCTGACGTTTCTGTGCGTGTGTGTGGGCGTTTGCCTGTGTGTGTTTTGACAAGCAGACATTCCTTGCACCCCTTTTTCGCTTTGGTAAGGCCAAGCCCCAAAGGACACATCATGCAGATGACCCCTGCCTTGAACTCACAGACCCGAGAGCTGAGGAATTGATGGACCCTCCTAGGATAACTGTAAAGGTTTCCAACTGTCATGAAGCATTAAAAACACCAACCTCCCGCCCCCAAACCCTAAGACATTTAATCCTGATAGACTTGCTGCAGCTGCTCCTTAGGTTCCTAGAGAGGGTTTATGACAAGGGTCAGAGCAACAGGATTCTCTTCATTTTGCTTAGAATTAAAAAAAAAAAAAAAAAGTTTAAGGGCCATTTCAAAAATAAAAACTGAAATTCGAATTCTGAAAATATCTTGCCTTTTTTATTAATCATGTCATCTAACACCAATTAAAAAAAACAAGTATGTGAATATGATATAAAAATACGATCCTGGGATTAACACTTCGTTGCAGGCACAGTTATCTCACAGAATATATGTTTGGAGAGCCAGGGAAAGGAATTTATTTTTGTTTTTGTTTCTCTTAAAAAAAATCCACAGCAGTGCAAGTTGGGGCAGGAGGGGGAGGGAAGGGGAGAGATTCTTTAGCAGCAAAATGTCCAAGGTTCTCTAATCACAATCAAATCAATGGATATTGAATTTAGGGGGAAAAAAAAAAAAAAAAAAAAAAAGGTGGAGGGGATGCTGCCCAAACCCATTCATTATCAATCACTAAAAACTTCCGCTGCGAAAGCCCCAAACTGACATACGAAGGACGCGCTTCGTTACACCAGCCGCCAATCAGTGTGTCCCTCGAGCTTCTGACAGGTCTGTCATTAAATATATGTACAGGAAGTGGGCTCTGTCTCGGGCGTGTCCTTGCCGGTGGCCGCCGCGTGGTCGCGTTGGGTGGGCTCTCGGTGTCCTCGCCACGTCTGGCCGCCACGTGTGGAGAGCGTTTCGCCTCGATGCTGCTGCTGCTTGCCGCGCTGGCTGTGGCTGCTGCGAGCAGAGGGTGGACAGGGACGTTTAATGGTCACTGTTCTGCTTCTCTCGCATCCAGGCGTGAATCTGCTCTTTCAGCTCTGGCACTGGGGAAAGGAGAGGAGGATTAGTGCCTGGGTGGAAGGGCTTTTCCGGAGAGATGATGAATGGAAAGAAAGGCCATTCATTCACTCAGTGCAATGAAGACGGACGAAGGGAGAAGCAGGACATGAGAAGGACCAGACTCTTCAGTGAACAAGAGCAAGGAACGCTTCGTGTCTTCTGCACTGAGGGCCACAGACCGGGAGAGTTTCCGGATTGGTAAGTTCCCCTCTGATTAACCTCCAGCCGTGGATTCTGGCCGCCACATCTGTGGCTGCCGTCAGCACCGCTGCAGCCCCGCACCCGTACCTGGCTCCAGCATGCTCTCGGTCAGCGTCTGCCGGTTGAAGGGGTCGGTGGGGGAGTTGAGCAGGTGCCGCAGAATGATGGAGCGGTCCATGATGGTGCCGGAAGGCAGGCGCACGGGGTCAGTCATCAGGGTGTCCATCAGAGGGTCTAAGAGACAGAGCAGAGCAACTTCAACTAACGGGACCTCCACCCGGAAGCAAAACACAGCTCCTGCTGCCAGGGAAACATAAAACACACGTCCGTATGCTAGAAGCCAAACGGCCCACGTTTTGAGGGAAAGTGACCTTTCATCGGCTACGGCCGGGAGGAGAGGAAAAGGCTGGGCCAGACAGCTCTCGTTTGGACTTCTCAGGGCTCCAGAAACACCAGTCCCCACTTGCACTAGGAAAGGCGAGGGGGCCTCAGGACCTGCAGGGTTTTACTTGGTTTGAAATCAGGCTAAGGGCCTTTTCTCGTCTTTTAATTTACAATATGAGCTAAAAGCAGGCAAAGGCGAGCTCAGACCAAGTGCCTCAACAAGCAGCCTCAGCACACCGGTAACGGGCTGGAGCACAAGACGCCCGTCCGTCATGCCTGTTTCCGGGAACCCAAATCAAGGGCAGGGCAGAGACAAGCGGCCCACTCGCCTCGGAACTCGTCTGGAGCGTCGCTGTAGTCGATCTCGGCCCGCGCGTTCTTGGCCACTATCTCCTCCACCTTCTCGGCGAGGAGTTTAAACTTCTCTATGGCGATGGTGGATTTGATCCCTGCCTTCCGCATCTTCGAAATGACTTCTTCAAACAACTCTTTGCTATAGGATCTCTGGGGACGAGGAAAGACAATGTAAGGTGTAAATATAGTGTGAGGGGGAAAAGCAAGCTGCAGAAAATACCGGAAGTATGATCTATTTGTGTGCGTTTTTTCTAAAGAAAAAAAGTCCTAAAATTATAATGTGTATATACGAATACTTTTACAAGACTATCTATATATATAAAAAGCCAGTGACCAGAATGCTGTAATGACCAGAATGACTGGTTGCTATGACGCCCTATGCAGCCAGTGAACCAGCTCAATCAGGGGTTGGGGCCAGCCAGCCAACCTCCCTCGACCCCTCCCCGCAGCTGGCACCGTCCCTGACTGGCCTCTCCCACCCCAATAGGGGGCGGGGTGGGGCGGCAGGCCAACCTCCTGCAGCCCTTCCCCCTGGCTGGCCCTACTCACAAGGGGCCCCCACCACCCTGATGGGCCCACAGCCCCTACCCTCGGCGGGTCCCACCCCTGATCACCCCCCACCCCCCACCCCCCAGGGCCCCAATCAGGGCCGGGCCGGCTGGCCAACCTCCTGTAGCTCCTCTTGCCGCCCAGCCCTGCCTGACCCCATCCCCAATCATCCCCCACCACCCCAACTGGCCCGTTGTGCCTCCCCCCAGCCAGCTCCACCCCCAATCAGCCCCCCCACACACACTAATCGGGGGGCTGGCCAACCAACTGCCCACAAACTCTCCTCATGGCCGACCCCACCCCTAACTGGTCCCCCCCCACCCAAATTGGGAGCAGGGCCTGTGGGCCAATTACCCTCAGCCCCTCCTCCGAGCTGGCCCAGCCCTGATGGGGCCCTGACCAGGGAGGGCCAGCTGGCCAACCTCCCGCTGTCTCCTCCTTCTGACAGGCCTGGCCCTGATCTGCTCTGATTGGGGGTGGGCCACCTGTGCACAAATTCGTGCGCTGGGCCTCTGATAATTCGTAAAGATGAGACAGTACACACCCAACTGTATACATGGTCATCACCTCTGGGGAGGGCTTTAGGATTACGGCAAACGAGGGGAATTTGGAAATGTTTTAATTATTTTTATAGCAAGCCTGAATTTCTTTTTAAATTTCAATATTAAAGAGAAAAATCCAGTCTATTTCGGCCCTTGCAGGGGGCCTAGCAGCAAGAGAGGAGGTAGAAATTTTAGCTTTTTCCTGAAGGTAAATGTGCTGAAAACAAAGTACTTACATACATGAGTAATATCTCAATAAAGCTGTTATTTTAAAAAAGTACTTACATTTCCCCCATTTTGTTTTTTTAATTTTTTCCCAGGGAGGAAGTGTGGCAGAGCTGTAGAGACAGGCCGCGAGACCATGAAAAACAGCCCGTCTGGATTCCCTCTGCTTTCCTGTGGCACCATCTGTCCCCACACCAGCACGGAGCAGCCAAGAGCGGGAAAGATTCAGGTGCTCGTTTCCCCCATTCTAACCTCTGGATGAGGTAAGGGTGAGGAACCTTCTAGAATGCCTACCGATGTTTAAACTGAGATGTGAGATACTAATTGGATAAAAGTGTGAACGGAGATGGGGAGACAGAAAGAGCTGGAGCTTTGGGGCTTTCTACGTGGCGAGCAGAGGGGGTGAGGACGGGCTCAGGGAGGCTCTGGATCCTGCCCCACCCCCACCACCTTCACACGCGCTCCCCCACCTCTCAGAGCCTCATTCAGAAGGAGGACTCTGACGACACCTGCAGCGTAGGATTTTGTGAGGATCACAGCAGTGAGGACAGGAAAGTGGTTAAACCTGGTGCTCAGTTAGTAAGAATGAGTTATTTCATGTTCAGATGGTGGGACAGAGCAGAGGAGGGCGAGATGGCTGGAAAGGCTGGGCCCAGCTGGGCGGGGCGGGGCTACCTCAGAGCCGGATGTGGCCCCGGGGACACAGGGAGGAGGAGGGAAGAATGTGAAAACAGCCATCGAGGTGTGAAACCTGGAGCCAAGGTGAAGGCAGCACGAGAGCCGAGGCTTTGGGACGGCTTCTCTGAGGAAACGGGCTCTCTCTGGGAAGGTCCCGGACGGTCCCGGACTTGGGGCTGAAGCCCCGGCTAAATCTCAGTCCAGACCACAATGGGAGGTGGGCCTGGGCTAGTCTTGCCTTTTACGCCCGAAGGAAAACAGCCACTTCGTCTCCGTTCACAGCAGACAAGTCCTCTGGACGCTAAGCTCACCATTTCCACTTACGTACTAAAAATGTCTCAAACCATATTTTGGAAAGTATCACCTTCCTTGATTTCACGCGGGGAATTCAGGAACAGATGGCTATGCAATCGCCTGGCTCTGCCAGGAGAGCCAGAACGGCACTCACAGGCAGCAGCTGGACCCCACTCCCCCTGCAGCGGCGGCGACCTGGCTCTGACCTGGTCGTCGGCGATGGCTTTGGCGAACCGCGGACAGTCCAGCTGCAGGTAAATGTCCGTCAGCTGGTCCAACAGCTTCTTTGGTTCAAAGCCGTACTTCTCGGGGTTTTCAACTTTCAGGTCCCGGCACTTGGGACCGCAGAGTTGCTGGAGATTGAAGTTCAGCATTGCAGCCAATCGGGGTCCAAGTTCCTAGGAAATCACAGGAGAATGGGACAATTCATGCTGCTGAGACACGTGAGAAGGACCAACAACTCCCATTTCAGTGGAGCAACGGGAATTGGCTGGATTCATCTTCAAAGAACTCATCCCTGGCAAGTGCTGTGAGTCATCAGCTAAAGAAAAACACTATATTCAGAATTTATTGCTCTCCATTTCCAATCCCATCATTCTCATACTTAATAGAGTACTGTGCGTTGGTGGAATATTTATAAATACCAACAAAAGGCAACCTTTTATATAAAGTCATGCTTTTAATTATAAAAACAAGGATCATTCTAAATTTGCAAGAAGCAGGTAAAAGAGGGAAATTATCCATGATTCCATCATCGTAACACAGGTCATACGTTTTTTAATATGCTCTGTAGACCATCATTTTATGCATTACTTTTGTATGCATTTCCAAAAGCCCCTGGCAGTTCAGGCAGTACACGCCATTCTTTACCTATCAGGTGCCAAGAGGAGGGAAATGCAAAGAAGCACAGATAAAATTTACGTCTGAACAGTTTTAAATTTGGCCAGTAAGACAGAGCCAACTTAAGAGAAACAGCTGGGCTACAGCAATCGTGCAACAAACGAGATGACACAGCACTGTTACTGCCGGGCACGCACTGCTGTTAGCAAACCCGAAACTGGGAAATCTGGCCGAGACGGGTGAGAGCTCCCCTTCGGGCACAAGGCTTTCCTTAATGCAATGACTGGGTTTACAGAAAGTCACTCAGCTCGGGAATCTGCTTTTCAGGAACCGGCTTTTGCCTGTATTTAACCAGGAATCTGTGGGATAAGGAGAATAGGAGAGAGCTGGGAATCTGCTTTCCTCTGGAAGTGGGAGTGCTGTGTAATGAAGGAAAGCACACAGGATGCAGGCGCAGGCACAGACGGGGCAGAAGGCCAGCCCAGGTCTATGTGCAGGCCCTGAAACACGTTCACTTCATGAACAAACTAGGCCTCGCTTCCGATAATTCCTTTGAAAAGTGAAGACTGTGTGTTAATTTAGTCTTAAATCGTTTCTATGTTTACTACCTTTTAACTATCAGAGGCACGGCCCTTGGGGTCACTGCACATGAAACCAAACATGGTCATAGGAGGGACCGGCGAGCTACCAACTGTGGCCGCGGCAGAGACCATGTGGCCCATGTCCTGAACTACTTACTGTCCGGCACTTACAGGTCAAGTTTAAGCCTCTTTCTTGCTCTCCTCACTACCCTTTGTCCTGGCCACACTGTGAATTTTCTAAACCGTGTGTGGGAGTGAAGTTGGGGGCTCAGGTGCAGCAAAGCAGAGATCTTTGAGGATATCGCTCAGCTTCAATTTCAGAAATAGGATGAGGTCTTATGCATCATGTCGAGGCCAAATATGTTAACAACCTTTGATCTTTCATAAACCTAATTATGGCTCTCATTAACCTTTGGCTTCTTGACTGTCACAAAGCTACACCTAAGAGAGTCAAAGATCTCACACACTATCAACTACTTCAACTTAATGGTCTCTAATTTCCAATTGATGTCACCTTACTTTTCCTCTAAATAAAACACAAGCATCGCCGGGACCGGTTTGGCTCAATGGATAGAGCGTCAGCTTGGGGACTGAAGGGTCCCGGGTTCGATTCCGGTCAAGGACATGTACCTTGGTTGCGGGCATATCCCCAGTAGGGGGTGTGCAAGAGGCAGCTGATTGATGACTCTCTCTCATCGATGTTTCTAACTCTCTCTCTCTCCCTCTTCCTCTCTGTACAAAATCAATAAAAAATATATATATATTTAAAAACAAAAACAAAAAACAAACCAAAAAAACCACAGGCCATCAATAATGTTGAAAATATGTCACAGCTTCAACATTAACAATCCAAAGTGCTGTGTAAGCAGAAAGTGAATTCCTAAGTCAACTTGGAAGCGGCCACTTGTGGATTTCAGTCTGTCAGCAGCGCTGTGGGTATCCATGAGCCTACGTGGGGGAAATCAGCAACAGAGCTTCACCGTCAGTGGCTGTGCCCCTGAGCCTTCCAGACCCCATTCAGTTACAAGTGACAGAATGTGACCATGGACTCACCGGCCTGAGGAAGGGCTTCTGGACCTGCTTGGTGAGGATGTGGAACATGTCCACGGTCTCCGTCGCCAGGGCGAGATAGGAGCGCGACACCCGCTCGTCCTGAGCCAGCTGGGACTGCCGGGCCTGCTGCTGGTCCTGGGGAGTGAGCAGAGGCCAAACCAGTCTCAGGGCCGGTCATCAGCCACGGAGGACGGGAAAGTCAGCTCGTGAGTGGAAAAGCGCGTTGCAAAGCCAACGTCCTCAGGAAGGACCAGACAGCCCACCCGCGGGAGCCCTCCAGGTCACTGGAGCTTTTCCTGTCCGCACTGAACTCTTCAGGACTTTGAGTAAGGCGACCGTGGCACATCATTTAACTTACCCAGACTCAGTTTCCTTTGTGATAAAAGAAATCAGCATCGCCCTAACCGGTTTGGCTCAGTGGATAGAGTATCGGCCTGCAGACTCAATTCCGGTCAAGGGCATGTACCTTGGTTGCGGGCACATCCCCGGTAGGTGTGCAGGAGGCAGCTGGTCAATGTTTCTCTCTCATCGATGTTTCTAGCTCTCTATCCCTCTCCCTTCCTCTCTGTAAAAAATCAATAAAATATATTTTAAAAAAGAAACCAACTTCTTCACAGGATGAAATAGTGAATCTTATGTGGTATCTGATACATGTTCATTTCCCTTAATAAAGACTTTTGCTTAGTCAGCATTACTTTAAAAACATGTGAGATGATGCTGAGAACTGTGCGTTTTGTACATGCAGGAAGCAACCAACTGATATGTCTCTCTCACATGAATGTTTTTCTTTTTCTCTCTCTCCCTTCTTCCCCCTCTTCCACTTCCTAATATTAATATCCCCAGGTGGCCCTGGCTGGTTTTGCTCAGTGGATAGAGCGTCAGCTTGCGGACTGAAAGGTCCTGGGTTTGATTCTGTTCAAGGGCACATGCCCGGGTTACGGGCTTGATCCCTAGTAGAAGGCCTGCAGAAGGCTGCCAACTGATTAATCTCTGTCATCACTGATGCTTCTCTCTCTCTCTCCCTCTCTCTCTGAAATCAATAAAAAATTTTTTTGCTCTTTTCCATCTTGCAAGATGGTGGGTGAAAAGAAAACCGAGAAGCCGGATACCAAAGAGAAAAAGCCTGATACTAAGCAGAAGCAGCCAGACACTAAGGAGAAGAAACCTGAAGCCAAGAAGAAGGCTGATGCCGGCGGCAAGGTTAAGGCCGCTAAGAAGGGGAAGCCGCACCGCAGCCGAAACCCCGTCCTCGTCAGAGGAATCGCAGATACTCCCGGTCGGCTATGTATTCTCGAAAGGCCATGTACAAGAGGAAGTATTCCGCCCCTAAATCCAGGACTGAAAAGAAAAAGAAGGAGAAAGTCCTTGCTACTGTCACAGAACCAGTTGGTGGCGACAAGAATGGTGGTACCCGAGTGGTTAAACTCCGCAAAATGCCTCGATATTACCCACTGGAGATGTGCCTCCAGAGCTGCTGAGCCATGGCAAGGAGCCCTTCAGCCAGCATGTGAGGAGACTGCGGGCCAGCATCCCTCCTGGGGCCGTCCTGACCATCCTCACTGGGCGCCACAGAGGCAAGAGGGTGGTTTTCCTGAAGCAGCTGGCAGAGGCTTGCTACTTGTGACTGGCCCTCTGGCCCTCAATCGAGTTCCTCTTCGTAGAACACACCAGAAATCTGTCATCGCCACCTCCACCAAAGTGGATATCAGTGGTGTGAAAATCCCCAAACATCTCACCGATGCTTTCTTCAAGAAGAAGCTGCGCAAGCCCAAACACCAGGAGGGTGAGATCTTCGACACACAGAAGGAGAAATACGAGATTACAGAACAGCGCAAGGTTGACCAGAAAGCTGTGGACTCTCAAATTCTGCCAAAAATCAAAGCTGTCCCTCAGCTCCAGGCCTACCTCCGCTCTACGTTCACTCTCACCGATGGGCTTTATCCTCACAAACTGGTGTTCTGAATTTCTTATAAGAACCCGATTAAATAACTGAAATGTTAAAAAAAAAAAAAATTCTTAAACACACACACACACACACCCCTCAGATGAAGATTAACAACAATAGAAAGATGGAGCCTAGAGGTTCTGAGAGGGAGAGGAAGGAGGCTGGAACAGGGGTGCTGAGCCAGAGCAACCGCAGGCGCAGCTGTCTTTGCCCGGAGCGGGCAGACCTGGAGGGCTACACAGCGTTCAGCTAAGACAAGTCCACCCGGCAGAGAGGCAGGCCAACAACATGGAGACCTGCGCCGGGAAGACACACTCTGAGTCCTCAGAACACGGAATTTAAAGGCGTGGGACAGAGGAGACCGCCCAGCAGTGATTTCCGATGGGGGCTACAGGCCTCACTGCCCGCAGGCTCAGGGAGGAGGCCCTCGCTGACGTTAAATGGACGTGAGGCAGAGACGCTGGATGTCCTGCAGCGTATGGGACAGTCGTTCATAACAGAGAGTTATTATTATATCACAATCCTACTGCATTCAAATCCCAACCAGCACCCTCCGGAAACATCGACCTAGGGGCTAAGTGTGGAGAGAGGAGCAGCCGGGGGCTGGGCACCAGAGCACAGGAGGAGCAGGCAGGGAGATGGAAGCTGGGAAGCGACTTCAAAGTCAAATGGAAATGATTTCTGAAACTGCACTTGTTAGGGATTATTTATGACCCTTTTCCACCCATTAGCACAAACAAAATCAATATTATCTGTTCAGTCGTCTCCAACGAGTGCTGTTAAGCACTGACTGTGAACAAGATAATGTGCACAGACCCGGATCCCAGCATCTGCCATACAAGCTGGTCCAGGAGAAGCCTCGTAAGTGGATGACACACTGGCGTAGACAAAGCGGGGACTTGGCAGTGACACAGATGGAGGAGGCCAACCGTGCCGTCAGCAGTAGCTGGAAGGGCCTGGGAGCTGACCGGGACCATCCACACGGCTACAGCAAATGTCAGGGCGGGACAGTGGGCCGCCATTGGCAAGACATGATTTCCTCATGGAACCTGGCAAAACAGCCTCTTTGCCACGAGGAACTGAATAGAAAAGCGAAGATCAAGTGAAAGAAAACCCCACCGGAACCCTGAGTGACCATCCAGATGCCTGAAGATCAGATGACACTCTTGTCTCTCAGACAGAATTTGAGATTTACTCCTAGTTACTTCCATAAATCTTAACATATTCAGACAATAAAAGCTCTTTTCCAGAAAGCCCTTAACATGAAAAGGCACAAGTTCTGGACACCGGGAGGACTTGGTAACTCACTCCTTAGCTTCAGAGCAAGTGCCGAGGTTTTCTCCTGCCCCAAACCTGGGATGTCACTCACGGAAGCCCACAGGTGGGAGGCAGGACACACTGACAGGAAGTCAGATTCCGTCACAGGCCCCACGCGCAGCCCTGCAGGGCAGGGCCGAGGCAGCTTCCCCGGCTGGGTGGCCCTGTGCTCACCCGGGGCAGCTGCTCCCACTGCTCCTTGTTCTTCATCTCCTCCTGCACCTCGTGGATCCGCTTCAGGGACTCCAGACTTTCATCGAGCAGAAACGTCGTGTCGTTGATCAGCATGTTGATGTAGCGAACAAACTGCTTCCCAGAGCTGAAAGCAATAACATGGGGCCTGGTCACACATCTCCCTCCACCAAGACTCCGCAGGTCCCAGAGGAAAGGGCCACGCGTGTCTCCCAACACACGTCACCCTACGAGACCTTGGCACAACTTGAGTACCGTGGAGGCCAAGGACTGCAAGTCCCTCCTTAGGCTGTGTTGCCCTTTGAAGTTAATCATGATGAGCTCACCCCGGTGATGTGCTGGAGTCACCTTGCACTCTCAGGAGAGCCAGTTGCTAATATTTTAGAATTCCGTGGGCAGATTCCCGAGGCAGCTTAAATTTGGCAATAGTGGAAGTATTTTACTCCAGAAAAACAGCCACGACTGATATCTTTTCCCTTCAGAGAGGTTTACCAGCATACCCTGGCTCTTTCCCGCAATGATTCTAAGCAGAGAAAACACTCTTCCAGGCCAGGAAAAAAACTATGCTTAAATTCACAGGAAAAAAGAAAGCACAAATAATTACCCACCTATAAGAGACACGAGAACTACTGACCGTTATTCCCATTATAAAGAAGACGCACTAAAGAAAAACTGCAGCCTAACCAGCGGGGCTCAGCAGCTGAGCACTGTCCCAGGAACCAGGAGGTCACGGCTCGATTCCAGGACAGGGCACATCCAGGTTGTGAGCTCGATCCCCAGTAGGGGGTATACAGGAGGCAGCTGATCATTAACGTTTCTCTCTCTTCCTAACTCTCAAAAATCAATAAAAAAAAGCTGTAACACTGCTAGAGAGGGCCATTAACTTACTACGGAGAGCTCAAAGCTTCGAGTCCATGCACTGTCCTGCCACCGGCTCTAATGCTGGACTCGCTGGTGACGGAGGTGGCCTGGCCTACCTGTTATGTTCTGGAAGATTAGTAGAGAAAGAGGGCTACCCTTCAGGACTTCCCACTGAGCACCAAGGCCGGCCAGCCCGGCCTGGGCACAGAAGCTCCAGTGACAAGGGCGGAGCCTGGACTCCAGGAACATGGAAAGTTCCCGAGCCGCACACAGAACCAGCCATGGGCCTGCCTGGTTTCCTACGCTGGTGCCAGGCTTCCGCTGGAACAGAACCCCGACCAGAAGAGCCGTCTGTGGAAACAAAGAGCCACCTCCCAGCCTTCTCTGCAGATGGCGACTCCGCTGGAAACGTGTACATTAGTGACCAGTAACTCAGCTGTGAGTGACCGCCAGGCCTGACCCAAGACCTAACGGGCTGCAAAGAGAGAGGCCCAAGCAGATGGGATAAAACTCCTCCCGGAGAGTGAGGCGCGAGTCCAGCCTTCTGCCTGCCTTTCTTTCCAAGTAGCTGAGATGGAATCACCGATGTCAGGTTCGGGCAGGTGCTAAAGTTCCAGGGGCCAATGAGAAGTCCCTAATCAACGCTTAGAGCCTTACTACAAATACAGAGCGACACTTCGAATGACAACCCTAATCCAACTGCTTCTGAGCGTCAACTCCTCCTAACATGTCCAGCTCTGCAGCTCGATGTCAAGTTCAAGAACACAGGAAGATCTCGCTGCAGTCATTCCAACCACCTCCTTTAACATTGTAATCACGAAATGCTTAACACATCATCTCAGAATAACTATAGATTCTGTCTTATGTACGCCATCCCCAAGGGATCTCGACCAACCCAAAGTTCAGCAATATCTCGTAAGCACAGACACTTGGATAACCTGCTCATATCCAACAGTTCCTTCTGGAAACTTAAAGGAGGCCGAGACCACGCCCACAGCCGAGTGCCTGGCTGTGAAGGCTCTGGAGCAGCCCCGCCCCCTGGGGTTTGGAGCACGGCAGTGACCCGGGGGCGCAGGACTCACTTGAACTCCTCCATGAAGGTACCGTGGTGAGCTATGTTTTGCCAGAGGCTTTTAAAAATGGTGCTGATGTGGTAGCGGATGGTGAACTTGTCATAGAACTCGCTGGTCGCTCCAGTATGCTCGACATCTAATGGAGAAAGACACATGTGTCCTATACACATTGACTGGAAGGACATGGAGGAAAATGTCCATAGATCCTCTGTTGTGTGCAGGGATTACCAATGATTTTTTTCTTCTTGGTATTTCCTATATTTTCCAGTACATTGACCTCGCCCTGCTGCCTGCTTGCTGACTGCAATCCCGCCTTGCGCTCTAGCTGCTTTCTTACGGAATTCATTGAGCTGCCCGGCCTCAGGGCCTTTGTACCTGCTGCCTCCTTGGCCTGGCTCTGTGGCTGAGATCTCTAAGACTCACTCTCTGGTCTCATTTTCAAGGTTACTCCAAGTCCCCTTCTCAGCGACCCTCCCCGCCTAGCTTCTCTACGTAGCACCACGCCTCCCCCCGCCCCATACCCACTATGAGCCTGTATTTATGGGCCAGCGTCTGTCTCCCACCTAGAACGTCTGCCTCAGGGTGGCCGGGATTGTGCCATCTTCACCGATGGGCCTGGCATCAAACCCCGCCCGCACACACAGAGCTTCGTGCTGCACTAGGGCCTGGTCTACGGGCTCAGGCTGGCCTTGCTGACCAGATCCGCTCGGGAAGAGGAGTCTTGAAATAAGTCACCAGTGCTCCTCCAGGTTCCGAGTAGCAGGCTTTTGAGAGCCGGTCCTTACAAATAAATACTCTTATTTTGAAATTGAACTTTACTTTGGAAACAGAAATTGATCTTAAGCATTTCCTAAGCTAGCCTCTTCTCCCGGGGTGCAAAAAGGTGCTTGCTCTGTATCGCAGGCTCTCACACGCCTGAGAGGCCGGTGTGCAGAGGTCAGGACCTGCACCCGCAGCCTTAGTAGCTGTGATGGGCAGGCGGCAGTGTGTGACGCCCCCCTGCAGGCTCTCTGGCGCCAGTGCCTTGGTAACCGTGGGAGGAACATCACGGACGCCAGGAGCACCTGTGCCACAGCCCAGCTGCCGAGGCTGCTGCCACTCGCTAGCTGCTGACCTTCAGCAAGCTTCCCGACCTTCCTAAGCTCCGGTTTCCTCATGAGTAAAATGGAGCTATTTATGGTGCCCATCTTGAGGCCTGTGGTTGGGATTAAGTGCAAGGATCAGTAAGGATTTGGTGAGTGGTGCTATTCTTAGCAAGGGTATCATCTGTCCGTGACCACAGAGGTGTCTGGGGCCGGAGGGCACACTGCCTGGTGGGAGGGGAGGGAGAAGAGCATCCGCCCGCCAGCTCCATCCCACACACCTACACACCCTGCCCCTCATCAAGAGTCAGTGACAGTTGCAGGCACGGGCTATAAAATACATTTAACGTTTTTAGTTTTAATATTAACAATACATGTTTACTGAAGAAGATTTTTAGAAGTTCAAGTAACAAAGAAAGAAAAAAAGAAAGAAGGAAGGGGCTACTCTTAATTCTCAGGGATCCAGTAGCATGTGCTCTGCTCCCAGTGGGCTACTGAGTTACACGTGTCGGTGGATGGCAGCCTATTGGGTAAAGGTTTAGAGTAACTTTGCCCACTGGCTTTGGACGGTCTTGCCTGCCTGTGTGCCCAGGAACCTACCCGTGTAAAACTTCATCAGGGACGGGACCAACAGTTTGGTGGAGAGAGGGTGGTTCTCGATCATTTCGAAGAACTTCTGGGTCCGTGGCTGCACAGCAGGGTTGGTCATGAACATGACTTCCACCAGTTTGGCCACCAGGTACGGGTTACGGATGTAGTTCTGGTTGCACAACATCACGACGAGGAACATCACAATATCCTGAGTGCAGGGCTCGTAGAGCACCTGAGGCGAGTACCTGCGGGCGAGAGGGCCGAGGTCCAGCCCTGAGTCTGCACCTGGGCGGGCGCTGGGGTCCTCGGAGGGGAGGCGACCGACAGGCCAGGAACCAGGACGCTGAGTCCCCTTTAACTTACTGAGTGTAAGGTGACTATTTATATCATAACCAGGTAGGTTTCAAATCCGTCATGTCTACTGGCCACAGCATTTTAGACTAACTTATTGAGTTTTAGAAAATAAACCAAGGCTGTGATTAAATCATCTCATGGATTTCAAAGATCTTCACTACCCAAGCACTTAAAAAATATTTTAATAGAGTTATTTTCATTTTGAAAAGTCAGATATAAACACAACCCATTACTTTGCTACCTTTCTCCAATTCTACCATTGAGAAAATGTTGGTACAAAATATAGATGTGGTTATTTCTGGCTTTTGAATGTTCACTCAGATATTTATAAACCGCTCCTACTGTTCCTCAGAAACACATTCTCCATCATTAGAAGTTCAGCTCCATTTTCACAGAAGACATTATGACCAGCATTGCTAATCCTCTTTGCTTCTGTGATATTATTGGAATTGGCCTGGTGCCACAGTTTGGATTTATTTTTCCAATCTCTAGGCAGCAGTTAAAGCAGTGAAACACAATTTCAGGCATAGAAAGGAGGTGTGCAATATAATTAATCATAGTATTTACATAAAACATATAAAAACATGTATAAGTTCTATGTAATATGGTAAGGCACTTACTGTACAATAAAAAATAAAAATTCAGCAACATCTTCTACATAGAACTCAGGCAACGCTGCAAACGCCTTGGGGACGTCTGTACTGAGAGGCAGTGTTACGCTGTCAACGAGAAGCACAGGTTACAGTGAGACCTCAGTGCTGGCCACACTCTAACACTTTCCGTGCCCACAGAGGGCTCCCCCACCAGGGACACACAGGCTTCATAACAATAACACAACAATGAGCTGTACAGGTGAGCATACAAGGTCAACAATGCCCTCAGCTCAACAATAAAAAATTATCTGTAGCTTTTTTTTTTTAAATTGATTTCACAGAGGAAGGGAAAGAGAGAAACATCAATGACGAGAATCATTGATCAGCTGCCTCCTGCATGCCCCGCACTGGGGACCGAGCCCGAAACTCCGGCACATGTCCTGACCAGAAATCGAACTGTGACCTCCTGGTTTATAGGTCAATGCTCAACCACTGAGCCAAGCCAGCCAAGCTTATCTCTAGCTTTTAGTTTCCAATTTATAGATTCCATTTTTTATCGATCAAAAACTGATAAAAATAAGGCAATTTTTACAAAGCATTACGTCAAAATTAAAATTGCAGGTGCTGACATCCCCTTATTACTGAACTAATTACAGGTAAAATATTATTACATATTCTACATAAGCACAATCTGGAAATTGAAAAATAAATCCTTTGTTTGTTTTGTTTTGTTTTTTAATCCTCACCTGAGGATATTTTCCCATTGATTTTTAGAGAGTGGAAGAGAGAGGGAAAGACAGAGAGAAACATCAATGTAAGAGAAAGACATCAATTGGTTGCCTCCCGCACAAGCTCCAACCAGGGGTCCGGGCCGGAGAGGAGCCTGCAACCAAGGTAAGTGCCACTGACTGGAATCGAACCCACGTCCTATTCACTGACCCAAACCGGCTATGGCAGTGGGCGGCAAACTCATTCGTCAACAGAGCCCAATATCAACAGTACAACGATTGACATTTCTTTTGAGAGGCAAATTTTTTAAACTTAAACTTCTAATAACACTTCTTCAAAATAGACTCGCCCAGGCTGTGGTATTTTGTGGAAAAACCACCCTTACAGGGCCAAAGAGCCGCATGTGGCTCGAGAGCGGCAGTTTGCCGACCACTGGCCTAGGGCAAAAATGAACTCTTGCTGAGGGGAGGGCTGGTGAGAGCAGTACACGAACAGCCGGGCAGGGAGGGAGAGGCACTCACTCGGGGTAGGCGGGGTCCAGGATGCGGAGCAGCAGCTGGATGAGAAGGCCATAGAAATTCAGACATCTTCGCAGGAAGCTCTCGTCAAGTAGCCCAGCGTCAGCGCAGGCCTTGCATCGTACCAGTTTCTGTGGAAGCAGGGGCCGCCATGTTAGTTGGCAGCTGAGTAGCTGGGCGTGCTGGCGGGTGGGCCAGGAGGGGAGCCTGGCACCAGAGCTTCCCCGCTGACTAGCTGGCATGCTGGCCGTGTTCTAAGAAAAACAAAAGCTCCACACAGACCACCGGACACACGGCTCCGCGGCAGGTCCTGCTGGCACGTGAATGACCCGGGGAGCTCTTTGGGGACCGGGGAGGATTAGTGCGGAGAAGCCAGATGAATCTGCATCTAAGCTGCAGGTCACCACTAAAGAGGTGCCTTTGGGGGAAATGCTTGTCCCCCAACCTCAGAGGGTCACTGTGAGGATAAAACACCCGCACATGCGCACACGCTGACATATGAATTTAAACAGTTTATGGACTCCTTGAAGCGTTACCTTTGGAGTTCTGCAGACACCAGACAAGAGCCCCTGCCTCACTCTGCATCTCAGAGAGGTCTAGTGTCTTAAACTAAATGAGACCTTAACGTGGGACAGGAACCAACCCAGAGAAAAATTCTACACGTTATTTTACTAATTAGCAGAAAGCACGACCAGCCAACGCTCAGCTTTTTAATTTGAATGTAAACATAAGAAAAATGCCTAAATGTGCTATCGGTGCTGAACCTTTTAAAGCTATGCTCAAGAGCGGAAATCTTCCCATCTCTAGATAGTTCTGTGTGATGGATCATTTCTAATTAAAAATGAATGAGGAGGAGCAAAAGAAAGAAATATTTCCACAGCCACAACTGTACTTTGTCACACACCGTGAACATGCCTGCCTGGAAGGGATGATGTGTGTTCGGGGACAGGATTGCAGGGCTGGGGGTAGTAGGTGGGCACTGCACAAGGTACGAAAGGGAGATGCTAAACTGCGCTTGACAGTCTGTCCTGAGGTATAAATATTATGTAGATACACGTAAACTACCAACGAGTTTTAGCTGCACCATTTTATCTCGGGCGTGGGAGTGGGGAGAATAGTGAAGAAAAATAAGGACACGGAACTGTTCACTCAGAGCACATAGCCTGCTGGGAAATACACCATTGTGAGGCTGTCGATACTCATCCCAGTAACTATACGGACCTTCAGCTGCGTTTTGCAGCGCTTCAGCATTTCCCGGTGTCTGGTTGCCAGTGGGGAATCTTTCCATTGGCTTTCATTATTTTTCAAATCCTCCACGGTTCTGAAAGCAAAGACTAATGGTCAAATAAAAAGAACACACACAGACCCATTATCCATCTTATCTACTCATTTTGACCATTTCAATGGCTCTCAGACACATATTCCCCCCCCCCCATTTTAGCATTTTTAAAACCAGAGAATGTCTTACAATCAATGGCACATTATGGTTTAATTGGCAGCATTTTTCTTTCTTATTGATTCCTAAAATGATATCATAAAATTGATGACACTTTATTTATTCATTTACTTATTTAATATATTTTTATTGATTTCCGAGAGGAAGGGAGAGGAAGAGAGTGATAGAAACATTAATGATGAGAGAGAATCATTGATCAGCTGCCTCCTGCATGCCCATGACTGGGAATCAAACCAGTGACCTCTTAGTTCCTGGGTTGACGCTCAACCACTGAGCCTCACCAGCCGGGCTCTTGATGACACTTTAGATGTGATGAAATATAGTAACCTCTTTTAGAAGGAAATCCAGGGTTCCCTTGTTTTTCTTGGACAGAGAAAAAGAGGTCTCAAGAAAATTCAAGGTTACTAAGCCTACTCAATTACCCAAAACTAAAGGCGAAAGGCGACTTCACTACTTTTGTATTCCCTCCTTTTCTTCTACAATAGCCTCTGCTTGGAAGACCCTTCTCTGTGATCACCTTGCCACCTGCTCCTTCACTTCCTTCAGGTGTCTGTCCCAGTATCACCTGTTAGTGAGGTCGTGTCCCTGATCGGTAATAATGCTGCACATTTTAAACATTATTCACTTAACATTATTTTAACCCCTTTCTATCAAGACATTGTAAGGAACTAGACGTTGATCTTAAAAAAACAAAACAAAGAAACTACCATTCCCAGACTCCCTTGCTGCCAGCATTTCTGCACATGACCTAGTCCACCACAAGGCGAGGCGAACCCTCACTGAAAGCAGAAGGGAGTATTGCCACGTGGCAGCCACGTGGTTCTGGGAGACCTTGGCGGAGGCTCTACTGTCCAGCTGACCCCTGAAGCAGCTTCCTGCCAGGCCAGGTTCAAAGGAGAACCGGTTTTCCAGCCATTTCAAGGATTCAATAAACCAAATGGTAACCTTTAACAATCCTCTGGTAAAGTGGAGTGTTTTTCGTGCAACTATGAGTGTGACAGACAGAACAAGGCTCCCCCTAATGACACAGCCCAATCCCCAGAACCTGAGTGTGTTTGTGACCTTACATGGCAGCAGAGACTCTGCAGAGGTGATTAAGGATATGGACCTCAAGATGGGGAGGTTATCCTGCACTATCTGTGGGCCCCATGTCACCACAGGGTCCTTCTAAGAGAAAGAGGGAGGCAGAGGAAGAGGAGGAGATGTGACAGCAGAGGTGGAGAGAGAGAACTCAATATGCTAAGCTGCTGACTTTGAAGGCGGAGGAAGGGGCCACGAGCCACGGAATGAGGCGGCCGCCAGAAGCGGGAAAAGGCAGGGAAAGAGTCCAGAGCCTCCAGAAAGAATGCAGCCTTGATTTTAGGACTGGGCCCCCAGGACTGTAAGATAATCACTGATGTCGTTTTAAGTCATGGAAGTGTGGTACTCTGTTGCAGCAACAATTGGAAAGTAATATGATGACCTGGATTATTGGCACCAGAAGGGGTCACACAGGTAATGGGCCCTCAAGGGGTCACACAGGTAAACGGGCCTCTGGGATTAGTTCTCTGACGGGTGAAGATTCAGCCACCTCAGGACAGAACACGGGCAGCCCAGGCTCTCTGCGGAAAAACAGCTGCATGAGCGGTCACAGCGATCTCGGGAAGGAAGACAGCGGGCTCTCCTCCGGAGAGCTCACAGAATGAAGACAGGCCCGGGTGCCAACTCTCACCTCCAGGAAAGTCACCGAGCCAGGGAGTTCCTAAAATGACCTCAAAGCAGCGTCTGGTCCCACAAAGCATCTATCATAATATAAACTGAATCGATAACCTTACTGGGTCTCTTCGCTGTGAGTGAGAGCAAAGACGGGCGCTCCAAGAATTCAAGAGGAGCTTGGGAGGATTTGATGACTTCGAGGTGGTCACATCACAGGAGAATGCCAAATCCCCTTTCATTGCTCCAGAGCCATAACCAGAGCAAGACCAATTTCTGTCCTTATCGGCTAATTCCAAAGCCATAAGCAGGGAGTTCATATTGGAAGAAAAAGAAGGGCACGATTTGCTAGGATGTTACATTCATTACCTATGGCTAGTGTAACAAGCTTGCACAAAGTCAGTGGCTTAAACAACAGAATTATCGGCCCAGAGCTCTGGAGGTCAGAAGTCTCACTGGTCAGCGTTCACGTGGTCACCGTTCCTTCCCAAGGCCCTGGGAAGGATGCTTCCCTGCCCTTGGCAGAGTCATGGACCAACCACACACCCCTGACACCTGCTTCCGCCATTAGGTTCCCTTTTCTCACTCTGTGCCTCCTGCCTCCCTCTTATTAGGTCCTTATAATATTGGGTCCACCCAGATAGTCCAGGAAAATCTCCCATCTCAAGATCCCAAACTTCAGCACACCTGCAAAGTCTCTTTTACCATGTAAGGCAACAGTCACAGGTTCAGGTCTAGCACGTGGGCATCTGTGGTTCCCTCCCCACTGCACACGAGGTGACAGGGGTGTGGGAGTATGTGTGGGAACGGACCTTAGAGTGCTCATCAGCCAGAGGGGGGTGTAGGGCAGCTTCACTGCCATGGTTACAGCTACCGGAGGTTCTGGACGCAGCACTGTCCCGAGTCGCCGGGAGGGGTTCTCACTGTGCGCCCCGCTATCTGAAACCCGGAACCCGTGGCGCCTCAGCCACCTCAGGACAGGCCACACACACGTACCTATTGAGCTCCCGGATGGCCCGGAGCCTGCGGATGTAGCGCCGGCAGCTCGGCAGGATGGAGAGGTGGTGGGCGTGCAGGGTAAGGAAGAAGCATTCCGTAGGGAATTTTGGCTCAGAAAATGGAGGCTGATCTCCATCTAGGAAAAACACACACATTATTCCCTAAATAAAAGTGGTTGCAGGACTAAATTAAAGAAAAAGCAAAACCAATAACGCAAAGTTACTAATTTCCAAATAACTCTTAAAAAAAATTATAGATGATAAAAACTAAAATCTGGGGGGGGGGAATCCCCCCCCCCGAAAAAATAGACTTGAGCCCTAAATGTGCCAATTAAATGTGCCAATTAAAATTCTCTTGATAAAATATAGTTTTCACTTTATATGTGCCAATAAAAAACATCAATGAGAGAGAAACATCGATCAGCTGCCTCCTGCACAACCCCTACTGGGGATGTGTCCGCAACCCAGATACATGCCCTTGACTGGAATCGAACCTGGGACTCTTCAGTCCGCAGGCCGACGCCCTATCCACTGAGCCAAACTGGGTAGAGCTACTGTATTAATTTTTATTGCATAATATATCCCTAGCTTATAAATTCATTTTCTGGAGAAGCAACAACTTGTAAGGAATCATTAGCATCCAAACAAAATTATCTTTTTTTCTAGACTCTATAAACTCCCACTTTTTAGCTGGGCAGCTGGGAACACCACCCACTAGCAGGATGTGGCCGCGTAGGGGAACGCCGGGCACTGAGGTTCTCTGGGATTGCACACAAACACGAAAGTGGAGAGGCACGAAGTCATCCCTCCTCCCGTGCCCCTGCCCCCACCCTCAGCATTCACTTTCAAGCCCATCTCTTTACTGTTGAGTTTTGCCCATTTCTCTTGCATTTCTACTTTCCTGTTTTCCTGCTCACCTGTTTCCCAGATACATTTTGTCTGTCACAAGCCTTCCCTCTGCCTGTTCTTTCTTTCTCGGTCTTCACTCCTTCGCACGCTCTCCCCCTGCCTGCCTGGACCTCTCTGGGGCATGAATGCCGTCGGCCAGGAAAACGGCTGAGGCCAGGCTGCCTGGCTCCTTCTTCCTCCTCCCCCTCCTCCGCCCTCCCTCTGAAGGGCCTCCTTCAAAACCCCGTGACCACCTCCTCCACAGTCTGTGACTCCCCGACTCGGGCCCTGATCCCAAGAGCCCACACCTTTTCTTTTTTTAAAGTAATTTTCCTTTTTATTTTATTTTATTTTATTTTTAATGTTTAAGGAGCAATATTTTTTTAATTTTTGAATATATATATATATATATATATATATATATATATATATATATTATTGATTTCAGAGAGGAAGGGAGAGATATAAACATCAATAATGAGAGAGGATCATTGATTGGCTGCCTCCTGTATGCCCCTTACTGGGGGGGGATCAGGCTCACAGCCTGGGCATGTGCCCTTGGCCAGATAGGAACCTGGGATCCTTTCGTCCACAGGCTGATGCTCTATCCACTGAGCCAAACTGGCTAGGGCAAGAGCCATATCTTAATTATGTGAAATCAGGCCTCCTGAGTGAAACAGAGATCTTGTGAAGAATGACACTGCTTCCTTCACTACTGACCGATACGAGGAGCTGCAACCAAAGCCCAGAAAGGCTGAGCACAGCCCGGGCTGCCGGCAGAGCGGAGCGCCACGTGCTGAACGGGCGAGGCGAGCTCGGCGCCTTTGGAAGCTCAGTCTCCTCAGATTTAACCAGAAAACAACAGTTACTATTAAGATATTCAAGTTCTTTTCCTGATCAGCCCATAGCCTACACCTAGAGGATTTCCTATAGGACATATGGATGGCCAAAGGGAAGGCACACTGAATCTCAGGTTGTGGTGTTGTCTTTGTTTTGGTTAAAATCTCCCATGACTCTGAAACAGCGCTGTACTGGCCGACAAAACCTGGCCCTAAACATGTCATTAATGGTAAATATCAGTAATGTCTGACCGGACAAGACCACAATCGAGTCCTCAGACACGCTCCCTGCTCTGCCCCTGCTCAGTGAATCCGGGGTCTGAGGTCACTGCTGTAGGGGTGGGGCAGGAGGCAACGGCCAGGGACACTGCACTGGTGTCAAAGCCAAGCTGTGGGAATAGGCTTTGAGTGCCACTGCATACCGATTTTTTAATTAAAAAAACAGAAGGGCAGCATTTCAACGACCTGATAATGAACATGTCACTCACAGAGTTCCGCCAGCCACTCCTTCACGTCCTCCATCGTGGCGTTCACTCTGGTCTCATCGATGGGCAGAGTGATCCGACACCTCGGGTGGAATATATACGTGGGGTCAACCGTCTCTAACTTGATCTTGGTACTGAGCTGCTGCAGCACCCAGAGGAAATTCAGCATGAATCCATCTGTAGACACCAACCTGTCATCTGTCTGTGAAACATGGAAGGAAGGACTGAGAATAATGACGGAAGAGAAATGCTGACCAAACATGCATCTTCTTTTCTTTTTTTTTTTTACAAGGAAAAAAGTTTTTTTTAAGTCCTCACCAGAGGATATGTTTCCCTTGATTTTTAGAAAGAGTGAAAGTTAGAGAGGGGGAAAGAAAAACATCGATATGAGATATATTAATTGGTTGCCTCCCGCACATGCTCCAACACAGGCTAGGGATCGAGCCTGCAACCCAGGTACATGCCTTTGACTGGGAATTGACCCTGAGACCCTTCCATACACAGGCAGATGCTCTAACCACTGGCCAAACCAGCTAGAGCAGCAATGATAAGACACACTTATCACGCCATCACTGTCACTCGTTAGCAGCTACCACTTGTTGAGTGTTCATCCTTGTGAAGCATTTTATACATTCTCTCCCCGCATCTTCACAACAGCCCGTAGAAGGCAGTTACACTATTACTCCCATTCTCCGGAGGAGAAAACTAAGGTTCAGAGAATTTAAGTGACTTGCTAAGATCCTCACAATCAGCGAGCAAGTAAAAACACACTAAACATTGCTTCTTTCCTCTTCATTCCCCTCCAGAGCATCAGGACAAGAAGCTTCACTGTTCCCACCTGACAGCCTCTCTCACCTACAGTCCGCATTAGTGACAGAACGATCCTAACAGCGACAGTGACAGCGCCGAGTGCTCGCTCTGGAGGAGGCACTATTACACCAGCTTCGCAGAGAGTAAACACACGCTCAGTGTTTATTATCCCCCTTCAGCGACGAGGAAGCGGAGAAACAGAGAAGTAACTGCTAAGGTCCCACTGTTAGTGAGCGCCGGCCACAATGGAAGTCCAGGCAGCCTCAGGCGAGGCCCACGCTTTGATCTGTGTGTTTTTCCATCTTGAGCAGAAGAGTCACGTCATTCAGTACTAACACAGGGCGGACGCCCGCGTGACTCTTCTGCTCTGGCAAACAGTCCACGCCAGTAGCCTCCACACAGGGCTGCTCTCAGGTCTGCTGGCTCCCGTCCCACTCCAGTCCATTCTCTGCACGGATCTGGAGGGTTTCTTGCTGGAAAACCCTCCGATGGTCCTCTCGGCAGCTCTTATCACACTGATCACACTGATGGAGCCTCTGACCACCCCCAGCGCACCACGCACCTTCTCTTCCCGTTCAGTCCTCCGGCTACACAGGCCTGCACGAGGGCTGGCTCCAAAGCTAGTCCAGCCCTAGCTTAGTGCCTTTATCCTGCCTGCAGAGCCCTTTCCCCAGCCCTGCAATGGCTGGTTCTTTCCTGTCAGTCAGGTCTCTGACCAAATGCCATCCCCTTAGCGGGGCCTTTCCGACGTTCAGACAGAATTCACCCACAGCTTCTTTCTGGAGCTTCCGCCGTCACCCTCAGTGCGGTACCGTGCGGGGTTGGCCTCCTAGGAGCTGTGTCTGTCTGAAACCATGTCTCTGCGTTCACGCGTATCCCTATAGGACACCCGCTGCACAGAAGCAGGAGCATCTTTCTCCTGTTCACCACGCGTCTCCGCCTCCTGGCACAGGGTCAGGTCAGCACTGATGAATAGGGGAGTTAGAGGAATGAATTGACGGAGAAATAAAAGGCGCCTTAGGGGGCCTACCTGCATCTGTGCTTTTTTCATGTTGGCATTGACGACGGCCGCCATGTAACTGAGGGCCGCCTCCCGGGTTTCACCATTTAGCAGAATACTGTGCAGAGTCTTGAAGAGCTCTTGCTGAAATTTGTTTTAAAGACAAAGAAAAAAAATTAAAGCTTTACTTTAAAAGCTACTCCTTTGGACTTAAGAACAGCTAGCTCCCTCCCTGCCTTTTCTCCTCCCTGCTTCCCACTTTCTCTGACTCTGTGAGAAGAGCAGATGACAAGCCCACACTCAACTGTGTCGGCAGCATTAGCATGGAAGCGGGATGTGGAGTGGAGAGGAAGCAGTTGCTGTTTTAATAAAACAGCCTTTGCTATTTCCTTTCCAGGAGAGGGTCACAATTACCTTAATTACACTATAATTTTGCTGCTTTTTTTGAGAACTGAAGCCATATAAACTCTATTTGGGACCAGCGAGTTAAACTAACAGCGCTCACTCACCCCGAGTCTTACATGCCTGAGAGCCTGACCACTAAACTCCGGACCGTCCCCAGGATGCCCAATGAGGGTGCAGAGCATTCTCGCTGCAGTTACCGTTCAAAGCCCCGGTTACTCATCTCCCGCCTTTTATTACCCCCTCCCCCCACCCTCCGAGTTCATTTTCCGAACACCTACCCTTCCCAGCTCCAGGTAATGCTGCAGTGACTGGCTGACCACACGGGTGTTTTCCAGGGTAATAGCAGGCCCTGAGAAATACTTTTCAACCACTTTAGCCTGGAAAGAGAAGAAACAAATTCAATCGACATAGAATACCCACTCGGGAAGGGCTGTGAACATTGGAGCAAAGGTGCAAATGGCCACCGTACTTACGTCATCTTCTGCGAAGACCGAGAAGCTAAAAAAAGACCCCAAGTAAGACAGTCTCTGCAGCTCCCGCCCAGACCCCGGGCTCAGGGACTTAGGCAACCACAACGGCAAGGAAGCCACCTGTGGGGAAAGCAGAGGCAGATCGGCGGCTGTGCGGCGAGGGAGGGAGAACGCCGCGGACCGTTCTCACAGCCACCCTCCCCGCGGGTCCTGAGCACCGCGGTGTGGACACTGCACTTCCCACAACACAGCTCCCACACGCGCTGCCTTCCCTGCGGGGTCTTCTCCTCTCGGAGGGAGGAAAGCCTCGGGCTCCTCCACACTTTGTAAAATATACTTCTGAGGTTTTCTGGACATACTTCTAAGGTTTATGTTTCAGAAACTGTGCGTGGAGTGCAAATGAACTCTTCTTATACTGCAAAGCGATTCAACTTCATTCTCCCCTAGGACTTGTTATTCCGGATGTACAATACTTACCCAAATTTTTTTTTAAATCACAAAAGAAAGCCAACAGCTTCATCCCAGGAAATGGTATATGATTGTGGTGGGCAAACTGCGGCTCGAGAGCCACATGTGGCTCTGTGGCCCCTTGAGTGTGGCTCTTCCACAAAATACCACAGCCTGGGCAAGTCTATTTTGAAGAAGTGGTGTTAGAAGAAGTTTAAGGTTAAAAAATGTGGCTCTCCACCGAAACGGGTTTGGCTCAGTGGAAGAGCGTCGGACTGCGGACTGAAAGGTCCTGGGTTCGATTCCGGTCAGGGGCATGTACATTGGTTACGGGCACATCCCCGGTAGGGGGTGTGCAAGAGGCAGCTGGTCGATATTTCTGTCATAGACGTTTCTAGCTCTCTAGCTCTCTCCCTTCCTCTCTGTAAAAATCAATAAAATCCAAAAAAAAATGTGGCTCTCCAAAGAAATGTCAATCATTGTGCTGCTGATATTTGGCTCTGTTGACTAATGAGTTTGCCGACCACTGGTATATGACATCAATCTAAGAATCCATAGCCACCCACACATGCCAGACATATCGATAAATGCCCTGCACCGGACAGCTCCCGGGCGATGCCCGAGGAGCACCTTCTGAGCTCTATGCTCACTCCACACGTGCAGCCCAGCAGCGAGGCACTTACCAGATTGCACACGGGGTGTGTCTTCCCAAACTTGGTTTCACAGAGCTCTCCCAGCGCCTGGAAATCAGAGCAGAGAGCCGGTTAAATGTATTTCACCAGGCCGCCAAGTGAACACCGAAGACTAGCTGTAACTGCCGCTATAAATGCGCATGTCTCCCTCCCACTCTAACAGCTTCGCTGCTCCCCTGACTCAGCAATACATCACCCTGTAAAACACTTAACATAAAACAGAAATATAAAACGAAGCTAAAAGTCACTCAAACTTTACACCAAGGGGTAACCTCTATTGATATTTTAGTTAACAGCTTTCCAGACATATTTTTGTGCCTATACATATTGAGATGTGTATATATTTTTAAAATAACTATTTTTCCATGTCAAAAAGATATGCTTCGTAAACTGTAGATGGGCAATCTTGCCAGTGTTAAACAGAACTATAAAGAATTATAATTTAATAAGCAATCAAATCCAGAACATATTTAAAAGTATTCCTTGGTTTCATGATCTCTGGCATTTCTGAGAACGCCAACATTTTCCTTTTGAGTGTCCATCGTTCTCATATTAGAGAACCAGGGAGTGTTGTTGTAGGGACAAGCCACCATAAGACAATTAAGTGCCACGTGCACAGCGGGCTGCCTTCTCTCTGCAAGGTGGACAGGTGCACGGACGTCTCTCTGAGAAGCTCAGGCTCAGAGTGCCACTGAGAAGGGAGTATTCTTGCTGCTCAGTTCAGGGTTCCCCGACTGCTGCATGGTGGGATCTCCTGGGAAGTGTCAGGAACCCCAATGCCAGGCCACAGCCTCACCACGCACGAGATGAATTCTATTACAGTGCCCGGGAGGCGGGCACCAGCATTTTGTAAAGGCCCCCAGGTGAGTCCAAGGTGTGGCAAATCTGGGATCCACTGACCTAGACAAAAATCCACTTCTGATTTTGGCTCCAGACTCCCTCTGCCTGCCTCTCACCATCGTCCTTTCTCGAAATGCACACTCATTGCTGTACAAGCACCGATAATGGTACAAAATAAACTGCCTGTCCATCATAGCGAAGGCCTCTGTCTTCTGTTGATATCTGACACTAAAAGCTCCTTACTGAACCAAACCACCGCGGGAAAGCCAGCGATTCCAGGAAGGAGTATTTACAGAGGATGGTGGTAAGTCATGTGCACCGAAATACTTCACCACTGAGCACAAACGTCAGCTTCGTCCGCTGCCTGTATCTGCCACACACAGAGCAGAGCATACGGATTAATGACTTTTGTCCGGAGCCTGAAGAGCATGTGCAATGAAGAGCCGTGTGCAAATCCACTCACAGTGATCTTTAAGAGTTGTGGCTTCCCTGCAGGGTCTTGAACGTGGCCTGTTAGCTCGGTTTGGGGTTTTGAGGAGGTAAGTGTACCTCTGTGCACGCCTCTGCGCTAGCATTTATCATGGGCACCTTGCTGACCGTGCTGCTGTGTTCTGGTGTTTGCAGCAGACTGCGAGCTCCCCGTCTAGTGGGCTCCTGCGCCCAGACCTGGCTCAGACCGGGTCTCCAGTAACTAATGAGCTAGCTGTACAATGATTAAATGGAACAAATGCGGTAAAAAATATCTATTTAACCAAGGCCTCAACTTATGGAAGGCTGTATTTACATATAAAGTTAACAAATTATTTTGATATTTCCCTTCCTATTTCTAGAATAAAAAATATTAAGTAGTACTTCAAAGTTCTTTTCTCCCAAAATTTCAAAGAGGTAAATTCAGAGAAGAAAAGAGTCTGTTATTTTGTTTCTGGTTCCAATATTTTTATCACAGTCCGGGTCCTCCATGAGGATCTAGCCAAAATGTTCGTCTACGATTTCTGCTGAGCTAAGTGCCTGCCAGGGCTCAGCAGATCTGTGTTTTCCGTGTTCAAGGAAAGCTTGAAGAGTCAGCCCCAGGAAATGGGAGGTGAACAAGAGATTGACTCTCAGGCCTTCTGTACAAAGTCACCACACAAATGATACAGCTGTATACTTTTCTTAATATTGCCTAACCTTTTATTTGCGTTTGTAATTTTTTTAAACAAAATTTAATCCCAAGTAGTATGGTATGCTCACTGCTGGGAAAATCAGAAGGATCCCACCAATAGTGATCATGCTCATAAGCTATCCAATGAGCGGGGGAGTGTTTTAATGACTGCATCACTGACTGGCTAGGCCTCGATGGGTAGGATGGGTCTAACTGTCTTCGCTGACGCATCCCATGCACGCCACACACTCTGCATGGCTGCACAATGATTTCATGCTTTAAATTTGAGAACAAGGTTGCCCGCGGACCTGAGAGAAAAGTGCGTGTTAACATAACCTGGAAGGAAACAGCTACTGGATGGGTTATAAGAAGAAGCTTTACCATGAGGGGGTATTTAAAGTAGTCACTTTCAAGGGAGCACTCTTTGGCAGCAAGCGCCAGGCCTTGTAAAATGGGGATAAAGATCTGTAAGAAAACAAAACAAAACCAAATCAGAAATATAAACATAAGAATTAAGGCCAGGAGGCATGGTAAATAAAGATCTTAATGCACAGGCGTCTCCCGCCTCCCCAGGAAAAGCTGTTTGCACATAAGGGAATCCAGACCCAGCCAGGGTGCTGCTGTCCTTCACGCCCAGCCACAAAGTAATGCAGCCGAATTCTCCAGAAACACCAGGACACAGAGAACCCTAACAGCCTGGCAGGACTCCCAGGGATTCCACAGAAACTCAGGAATCTGGAGCCTGATAGAGACCTTCCAGGGGTCCCTGCTTTAATCAGCTCAGTTCTACACAGCTCAGAACACTCGCTTCTGATCATCAGGCACCCATAATCTGTAAAGAAACTGGACTGCATGTTCCACTACCATCTCACCTCTGCCAATGGTATTAAGAAATTCTCTGTTTCCACCCTCTCACCTCCATCTAATTCCTTTCATCTATTCCCTGTATTTTGAAGAGAATAAGAAAAACAGACCAATAATGGATATTATTATTACACAAGAGGCCCAGTGCACGCAATTCATGCAAGGGTAGGGTTCCTAGGCCTGACTGATCAGGGCCTTCCGGCTGCTGGCTGGGGCTTTCCTACATTCCGTGCCGTCACTGATGGTCAGTGCACATCATAGTGATCGGTCCAACTCCGGGTTGGTCAAACTCCAGAGGGGACAATTTGCATATTAGCCTTTTGTTATATAGGATTAACCTTAACTATGTAGAACAAAGAGATAGCTGGCAAACGTTAAAATTGAAAAAGAAAACTTTATCAGAATGCCTTCCCTCCACATACACAACAGCCTGAGGTCAGAGCTTTCACAAGTTTACCACCAATGCCAGGCACACAAACACTGCCAGATGAGCACAGCACAAATGACCGAATGTCACAACGCACTCACCGATCAACACATCTGGGGATTTGGTAGGGATTCAAGACTTCTAATTCCATTAAAGTAGAACAAGTTGTAATCAACGGCTAACAATCTGAATGCCAACACGCTGAAGAAAGAGTGTTCTATGAAGCCACTGGGAGACTGAAAATTCCCTTTCCTGCTAACCTCCTTCACTGTACTGAGCACCTGCATCGCTTAAGAGGCACAGTGTCACAGAAAGGTGCCCTGCACTGCCCAGGCCTGAGCATTCTGAGGTATCAACACAGCTCTGGAGGAAATAAATCTAGCTTTGCAAATAAGCAATCAGGGTAGAAGTAATGTGCTTGCGTAAGAGCTAAAAATGGAGAGGAGGTGCTTAGATGGGGAACATCAAAACTGCAAGCAAGAAAACAAGCAAACAGGAGTTCCAGAATCACCAAAATTAAATTTCTTAACTGGTCATCTAAAGTAATTTCTGAGCACCGTTTTCAGGAATGCTATAAAGTGAAACATCATTCCTCTTTCTAATAGAGCTTTCTTCTTTTGTAAGTAGAGTTATAATAGACAATATTGCTAAGCATATTTTCAAATAGGCAAATGTTATACTATAATATCTGTGTGACTTACACATTGTAATAATTCTCTTCTATTCATATAAATAGCTCCCAGCAGTGATTAAAAAAAAAAATGCTACAGGCGTTCCTCTCCAAGCTTAAATTCTAACAACTATTTATTTCTGATATCTTTTTTTTATCTGTGAATATCACAAATATTTACATTTCAGTCAAAAGACTTAATAATTTAAAGAAGACAGGAAGGTAACTGTTTTTCAGTTCAGCAACTCCGTTTTACTCATTCTTCCCAGAAAGACACGTGGTGCTACCGAAGGAGAGACAAGCCTTGTTTAGGACCAAGTGGCAGAAAATGCACCAGAATCCTGTGATTAAAAATAAGCAGGCCAGCACTGGTTGCACACATTGTGAATATACTAGATGCCACTGGACACTTTAATATATATATATTTTATTGATTTTGTACAGAGAGGAAGGGAGAGAGATAGAGAGTTAGAAACATCGATGAGAGAGAGTCATTATCAGCTGCCTCCTGCACACCCCCCATCGGGGATGTGCCCGCAACCAAGGTACATGCCTTTGATCGGAATTGAACCCAGGTCCCTTCAGTCCCCAAGCCGAAGCTCTATCCATTGAGCCAATGGACTGAGCTTTAAAATGGGTACATTTGCTGTGTGAATAGCACCTCAGTTGTACAAAAACAAAGAGGTCATTTCCTAGCCTCTGAGCAATAAAACAGGCACAACATACTCCTCCCAGCTGATCAAATGATGTATTTTTTAATACAAATATTCTAGTCAATGCACGTTACACATATAACACAACGTATCCCAAACCTCTCAAGACAGTTACTTATTTTCATCAGTGTTCACTCATCCTTCAGAGATGCCTTAACTATCCCCCTTTGTCAACGAGACCAACAGACAAGAGAAGCAGCAGATAGATCCAGAGAGTATACAACACCAATTGGGAGTTTCACTCCTGAATTTTAAAGAAACAATTTCTGAGAATTCAAAGACATTAAAATGAATAGCTATAGCCTGGCTGGTGTGCTAAGTAGTTGGGAGTTAACCTATGAACCAGGAGGTCATGGTTTGATTCCCAGTCAATGCACATGCTCAGCTTGTGGGCTCTGTCCCCAGTGTGGGGCAGACAGGAGGCAATTATTCTCTCTTATAATTATAACTGATGTTTCTAACTCTCTCTCCCTCTTCCTTCCTTTCTGAAATCAATAAAAAATATATTGTAAAAATTAATAGCTATAAGTAATCCTCTTATATAATAAAAGGCTAATATGCAAATTGTCCCCTCGACCGGGAGTTCGACTAGGGGATGGGGACAGTCAGCCAACCACCCATAGCCCCTTCCCTCAACCAACTCCACCCCCGATCAGCGCCCTCTCCACGCCGCCCCCCCGCCCCCAATCAGAGCAGGCCGGCCAGACACACCTATGCACTAATTCATGCACCAGGCTTCTAGTATCTATATATATAAAACCCTTTGCAAATAAACTGAATGGCGGAACAACCAAACAACTGAACAACCAGTCGCTGTGACGTGCGCTGTCCACTAGGGGGTGTGCACGGACCATGGCAGGCATTGGCCCTAAGGGGCTGGTGGAGCAGGTGAGTGGGGGGCACCAGACCAAGGCAGAGTGCAGGTCGCTGTCATTGGGGCAAGCCTCTGATGGTTACTGCAAATTCTTTGCTCCCTCGCACCTCAGTCATGTCCAGTGCTCACACCTGCTGCAGGAGCCGGCTCCACTGCATCCACTGCCAGTGCTGGAGACGCTGCTCCCACCTGCTGCCGGAGCCCAGCGCCGGCCCTGATCACCCCTTAGAGCACATGTGTCAAACACAAGGCCCGCGGGCCAAATCCGTCCCGCCAGGCCTTGCAATGTGGCCCACACCGCGCTGTCATCACTGCACTCCGCTGTGTTTCCATCACAATGACAGTTTATGACTGTTCAGTAAACCATTCGGCCTGCGATTTAGGCTGGATTTTAGATTTTGGCCCCTTCTCTGATTGAGTTCGACACCCCTACCTTAGAGCTTCTTCCCCTGCTCCTGAGGGGCAATCAAGGCAGCAGCCACCCTCACACCCACTGATAACATTGGCTCTGCTCGCACCCGCTGCTGCTGCCAGCCCCAATCGCTCCACGCTGTCAGTGGGTGCAAGCAGGGGCGGTGCAGGAGGGCCAGGCCATGGCAAACAGAGTTTCAATACGTCTGCATTTAAAAATCAGCTTCATCATAGAAATGCCTAACCTAAAAGTTTCGGTAGCAAATTCCCGAAACCTTACCTGCTTGAACACTTCTTCATCCTGGTGAGTGGTTCTCACCAGCTCTTGAATGAAGCCGTATGGGAGGTTCCTACACAGCATGTACGGCACCAGGAGGGACGGCTGCTGCATGGACCTGTGGACCAGGAGAGTCAGTAACTGCAATGAACAACCAACTACTACAGAACACAGAATACAGAACACACGAAAGGCCCTATCGGCAGCCACTGCCAGCCAAATGTCAAACTTGAAATCTCCCAAATGTTTTATATAGCAGTTGAGGTAAGAGATCACCCTTCCTCTCTCTATATATAAAAGCGTAATACACAAATTGATTGAATGACCAAACAGCAGAACGACCATCAGGATGACCACACTATGACACCCACTGACTCCAGGCCAGCCAAGGCGAGTACAATGCAATTGGTCGAGTGGCCCCACCATCGCCCCACAATTGCCCTACAGAGGGAGACCCAGGCTACCCTCTGTGGGGCGATCTATGAGGGAGCTCCACAATCGATCGCTCCAAAGAGGGAGGCCCAGGCCAACTGGCCAGCAGTACTGCAGTGGGTGGGTGGGGCCTCCCTCTGCTGGGTGATAGATTGCCCACAAAAGGAGGTCCAGGCCAGCCAAGCAATTTACACCCCACACCTGTAGCCCGCAGAGGGAGGTGACTGGTGGCAGGGGAGGGGCAGTGGTGCACAGATGGCAAGCAGTGGTAGTGGCGGGGGCAGGGCCAGCTTCCAGTGGGAGGGGGCGGGGAGGGAAACCCTGATAGGCCCTGATCGCTGGCCAGGCTGGGACCCTACCCAAGGGGTCCCGGATTGCAAGAGGGCACAGGATGGGCTGAGGGGCATCCCCCACCCCCATGCACGAATGCCATGCACTGAGCCTGTAGTCATAAATAAATTCCTTTCTATTTAAAAACTGAGCGATTAGCCCTGATGTGGCTCAGCAGTTGAGCATAGACCCATGAATCAGGAGGTCACAGTTCGATTCCCAGTCAGGGCACATGCTCGAGTTGCAGGCTCAATCCCCCAAAGAGGGGCCTGCAGGAGGCAGTCAATCAACAATTCTCTCTCATCACTGATGTTTCTATCTCTCTCTCTCTCCCTGCTCTCTGAAATCAATAAAAAATGTATTTTAAAAATTCACCTCTCTTACTTATTGGTTTTATGCTTTATCCAATTAAATGAGCAGTGGCTAGACTGCCCTGCTAACATCACACACCTCCCGGCTTCTCCTACCTGGGCTGGGTGAGGGAGCCCTGCAGCACTAACGCAGTGTGCGATATGCACTGGGAGCGGATGTTGCTCAGGAGCTGGCTGACCGCTGGCTGGCTGCACATCTGGAAAGAAAAGACAAACAAAATAACCCCGGGCTGGTGAAAACTGACAATATTCAGAAGAGACGGAACTCAGAAAATGGCATGTCTGCTCTTCCTTTATTCCTACTGAACGAGCCAGAGCAACGGTCTCACCCAGCGCTGCTCCTGCTGAAACCCACAGTGAGCAGAGAGAGGTGGAGGCGTGAGGCGCCACTCAGGAATCTCAGCCACGTGCCCCCGGGCTCTGCTGTTGCTAAGGTTAAGAGCAACAAGCCCCAGAGGCCCTGCAGAAATATGAAACTAACAGGTGGACAGCCAGGTTCGTTTCTAAGGGAAAACTAGAACTAGAAAATGAAGAAGGAATAAAATGAAATAATAATGAAGTCAGCACAAAAGAGGAGAAAAAGTGCAGCTTCCTACGTTTAAATGCAGCTTTGCAACTTTTTATGTAAGTGGTTCTGGACAATTACTTAATCTCACCAAGGTCAATTTGCTTATTCATACAACATTAAAAGGAGTGCCCATCTTACACTGGATTACACCAGGCTAACTGATCAACTGGGAATCTGAACTCATGCAGGCCCAGCACGGAGCCTGCCAGTCTACGGGCTCCATACATGTTGTTTATGATGATGATGATTATGAGACTATCAGGAATTACTAAGGCCATGTAAGCTGTTGGCAGCAATGGCCCTTGGCCCTGACACTTCTTCCCTCCCCCAGGAGGTGAGTTCTATGTGGGCAGGGGTCTTCGTCTCTTCTGCTCATACCCCAAGCCCCTGGTATAGTGCTGGCACGTAGTACCTGCCCAATAACCACTTTGTGAACAAGTAAATGAATGCTAAGTAGGGGGTGGAAATTATTACATATCCAGCAAATGACCAGGCTTTTGTGGGCTCTTTTCGATGAATCTGTTTCTTATTACCTTTGGTGCTTTTTTTTCCTCAATTCCAACTCGGTCAAAACACTCGATGAGGTAGTTCAGCATATCTGTCTCTTTGCAGGTCTCGATGGCGAAATGGTCACTGTAGGAATCCCAAGAACTCGCCCCACCACAGGCTCCGAAGCTTTGGAGAAGAGAAGAGAGAATGACGGTTCGTACCTCTTCTCTGTGTCTTGTGGTAGACAGTCTGCACTTCTGTAGCACAAAGCCTGCTGGGACCCCTGCCGGGGCCAGACCGCGGCCCCATGCAGCCACAGCAGGAGCTGACTGCCCAGCCCCCCGCTCCAAGGCCAACTGCAGTCATTTCTAGGGAACCCTTTGTTTTGACTCGGAAGTCTGACCAGAAAGCCAGCATCTACTCTTGCTGGGAACGGCAGCTTACCAAACCAGGAGGCCTGAGGACGGCGAGGCGTTTTAGGGAGGCCACACGCACCTAAGCCAAGCGGGCAGCATCGCTGGGGCAGATGTGGGGTTAGGGCACGCTAAGCTCTCACCGTCAGGATTACAAACACCGCTCCTCCTCCTCCTAACTCGCGGCATGGATCTCAGCGCCCTCATCTAGCATGTGGCAATGGAGCCAGAGCGTAGGAAAACTGTCCAGTTAGGAGACATGAAAATGTTTGCTATCAACCCACATTTTCCAAAGCTGCCAGTGGAAAAGGCAAAGCAGCACAGTAAGAACAAACCAAACCTTTGCTCGAGGAGATTCCCAACGTGGGGGTCTCTTCCCAGCCCTACAGCTTACCTGTTACCTGAACCCAAACCCCATCTTATGTGCAGCGCGGGTTACGTAAAATCACGTGAGGTGCTTTGTAGACCAAAGCGGGACACTGCGTGAGGCACTGTTATCGGTGTCACTGTTCTCTGGGGCCAAAGCCCAGCATCGCCACAGGGTGAGGCTGAGGGAAATCTGTTCAGATCGTTGGGTCCTATGCCGATCTGGTGTGAACTCACCGATGGATTGGATTTACACAAAGGAGACAGATTAATCATGGCATAGGAAGAGGCCAGGGATTTTGAAATGAAACGAGAAAACAAGCTTACGGAAAGTTACATGTGAAAGATGATAAAGGATGGGAAGAATACCAGGAACCTGAGAGACCCTTCCTACTTCAACATGGGGCCAACCAAGCTAGAAACTAAAAAGCAAAGGAACTGACGCGTTAACAATGTGCTACGCATAGAGATGGGGAGACACACAAAACTAATTTGGAGCATATTCACGGCCAATCTTAGATTTTAGAAAAATATTCGTAACTGACCTTCAAATGACCTTCAAGTAATTCAATCAAAAAGATGAAATCAATGCCATTTTACATCCAAAGCTTCCAGTAAATTTGAATGCCTACAATATAGGCCTTCCGCTAGGTGTGACAGAGCAGGGAGGGAGGAGTCAGGCTGGGGGGCAGGCAGCCAAGGCCCTCCTGACGGGTGACTAGCACCCACACAGCCCGGACAGAGCCAGGACCAAGATGGGCAGGCCAGCATGGGAACCCTAACACACACACACACACACACACACACACACACACACACACAATTAACTTTTGTGTCTTCTTGTCTGTTAACTTTGGGGCACTCTTCATGAATTAAGGGCAGGATCTGATACCTGGTCACTGCCTGACAACAGAAAGTTGAGCGCTGTAACAAAGCACAGGAAAAAAACCGTAAGAACAGAACAGAAAAACCCACCCACAAATGTAAGAAGTGTGATGAGTCCCCGAAAGCAGAAAGGGGAAAAGGGATGTTTGTGTTCACTGTAGATTCCCACCACCTGCCACCCTCTCCCCTCCTCTGGCGTCAGTCCCTCAGGGGCCACAGCAGGGCTGCGGGTCCCCGAGATGAACTGTGCCAACACGGCTGTGCCTTCGCACAACCAAGGTCACCTTTCCTGTGAGCAGCTCTTGCAAATGACAATGAAAACAGAGACTCCTCATGTTTAAAAAAGAAATTTAAAACCATACATTTCCTTGACCTTAGCCCATATGTCTCCATTTTTACATTTCTGAAGCAGAAAGCACCTTACAGTTATTGCATGTTGGTGGGTCCTTGCCAACGGCAAGGAGTCGGTCGAGGCATGGGACCGCCTGTGACACCGGCATGCTCAGGTGGTGGCAGCTCAGGCACGGACACTGGGTTCCACTCTCAGCTAACACCTCCATCCCACTGTAACTAATCTGACACCTCAACTTCAACTGAAACATCTCCGCAAAGGCTGCGCTGAGGCAGGAAGAGGGACAGTGATGGAGAGACCGCTTCTCAGGTGCCAGCAATGCAAGGGAAGATACTAGAGTTTTCAAAGCTGGGAGGTTGGTGTCCGTTGGTGACCATCTGTCAGGCACCAAGCAGCACTTCCAGTTGATTTCAAGAGAAGAGAAAGAAAAAGAAAGAAGAAATAAACAAAAAAGGTTTAACTAAATAGGACATCTAAGCACCAGTTGATCAGTATAGTTCAAAGACGTAAGTTCAATCCTAAAGGTGCTAAAGCAGATCATGATCACAGTATGAAGACCAGCCAGTCCAGCCAACAATCGCTTTGCCTACACCCCCAAGGTCAAAAGTCACTTGCAAGGAGCTGTGGGTACAAAGTCAAAGAGTTGGACTCAAATTCTGAATGACAAATACTAAAGGAGAACGTGGGGGATAGCTTATATGCACAAATCTGTGCTATCAGTAAACCCTTTAAATGTTTTAAAAATTTTGTTTTTTTCCTAAAAATGCTGTTACAATTCATGATGGTTTTATAACTGCTGACACATGAAATGTGACATTGGGAATGTGTCATATGTCAGTCCTAAAAGTATCTCTGGGAAAACATATGAACCTTGTTCTGAAACCACATCAGTCCTAGTTAATCATGTGATTATTTCACATAATACCTGAATCCTTCTGAAAACACAATGAAAATATTCCTGGGGATACTACACATGCCTCAGATCTGTGCAAACTAAATCCCATTAAAAATTTTTTTTTTCTTAAAAATATTCCATTGCAATTTCTTTCTTTTCTTTCTTTCCCCCCCCGCCCCCAATTTCTTTTCTTCTACAAGGAGAACAATCACCTCCTATTTTCTTTCCTTTCCTTTCCCTTTTTTATTTTTGGTCCTGCAATTTTCTATCTTCTCAGTGCAGCATAAAATCAGGATGGTGTAGCTTTAAGCAAAGCACACTCAGTAACAAGGGAAGCAGTGTGCCTGCTGCTTCCAGGCCCGGCCCTGGGTCCTGGGCCACACGCTGAGTCAGACAGCTGCAGACCTGCTCCTTGGGCACCTGCGTTTCCAAAGAGATGCTCAGAAACGACTGAACACAGCAGAGCTCTGGAGGGAAGAAAAGCAGGGGATGGGGACAGAGCGGGGCGGCCGTGTGCGTGTTTTATGCGTCTCATACAGCAGGGTCAGGGACAAAGTCTGATAAGGATGTCTTTACACACAGACTGAGGGAGTCGGGCGGCCGGCCAAGTACAAAGGCCTGAGGCAGGAGGAGGTATGCTGAGTGAGTTCAAGAGCAGATGGAGTGCACCAGCTGGGGAGGGAGGCAGGAGGCGTGTGTGTTGTATGTGCGCGTCTGTGCACGTGTGTGTACATGAGCTGCGCGGCCTTGGAGGCCAGGGCGAGAGGCCTTGGGTTTTTGTCTAAGTGAGGAGGGAAGTCACTGGAAGGTTTTCTTTTAGACCATTTCCATGTTTTATTGACCAGTAGTGATGGCCAGCACAAATCAGAATAAACACCAATTTTCACTATCTTGTCAGTTTTCTCTTCCTGTTCAGAGGCTCATGACTTTCAAGATTTTATCTGCTTCACTGCAATATCTAAGCAGTGAAAAAACAAAAACCGGAATATTTCTTTCCAGTCATCCACTTCCTAGGAAACAATGAGGAAAACTTTCCTCGGAATAACTCCTGTGTTATCTTTATCACAGACAGTCTCTCACCTCACCATTCCCAGGCCTGGGAGAAGTGGTTCCTTACAGTCCACTCAGCTCTCCCCCCAGGGGACACCCGGCACTGCGGAAGGAATGACCCTGCCTTCCTTTCATTAATCCTGAGCATGGTCGCTCTAAGCAATGAAGGGATGAACATAGGAACATACGCCCAGATTACTTCCATTAAGATCTGCATGACATCAACGCCACGGAACACCTGGAGGGGCCAGCTATCAGCCCTGCCGATTCCTCCCTCGCCTTCATCTTACAGGTAAGAAGTGGGTGTTCAAATCTCCCTTCAAAGGAAATAAAACTCTGAGATGATCCACCGGAGAGGGGAAAAGGAACAAACCATTTGCTGAGCACAATTAACAGGTGTGGCTGCCTCTTCCTGGTTCTGGCCCTAGCAACGTGCTCAAGTTCCTCTCTGTTTCATCGATTATGTCTTTTTACCCATCCTTTTATACTGTTTGATATCTATTCAGAACCAATAAGTTGCCAAAATCCGGATAGAACAGATTTCATTTTGATAGCCAGCAAAGGGCGTGCCTGCTGACTGGGATGGGATTCTGGAATTACAGTCAAATGTTCTTGCGCAGAACAGAGGAGATGCTCTTGGCAGCTCAGAACCAGTGAGGAACGGGAACAACAGCCAAAGGACAGAGAAGGCTAGCCAGAGGCAGCCCGGGGACTCTGACCCAGGCTCTGCGCAGCCTCGTCACGTGACCGCCCCCCTCCCGATGGGAGGAGGAGGAGGAGGAGGAGGAGGAGGGCTGCTGGGCAGATTAAGGTGGCAATGAACGCAGCACTGACAGTGGCTGGCACATGATGCTCAGTGAGTATGCGCGGCTGTTATTACACAACCCTGAGCGTTACTTCTCCCAGTAGGTGTAGGATCTAGATGTGCGACAAGGCTGGGATGTTGTAGGTCCAGAAAGACAGGTGTCAGTGACAGCGGCGCGCCATCTGATATCTTTGTTAGGGAAAGCTGGGCTTAAATAGGCCAGGGAGAGAGGATCTCCCACAGATAACTCACAAACGGCTAACAAAGCACTTATCATGCATGGACACTGATTCCTAACGAGGATACCTGCCGCAGAGCTATGATCATGTGACAGAATTTTCCTACAAGAAAAAGGCACCTTTATGGCTGGGAAATTTACTCAAGAAAGAGAGGCGTAATGTTCGAGCGAACACGAACATCAGCCTTCCTGAGTCAATAGTCAGCCTTGTGGGTCGGTTCTCTCTACATACTCAGTCCTCTGCACCGTCAGAGGTAATGAGGTGTGCCCACGCCCTCGGCCGGCTCTACTTATGGCCTGGGGTTATTTTTGAACACTGCTGGGCACAAATACCCACTCAGCCCGGAGGAAACGTCAATTTAAGAGCAAAATTGTAAGGCAGTGAGTCAGAGTGTTAGAAAGACGGACTATTGTGTTTTCTTTTCCAAAGTCACCAGACAACCGGAGTCACCTTTTGCGGAGTGAACACTCAGCAATACTAATGCCCCGTGTTCAGGCCCTCTGCTGCCATTCCAAAGGCCAGCTAAGCAAGCAGGGGCTGCCCGGCTGGTTTGGCTCAGGGGCTGAGGGTTGACTCAGGAACCAAGAGGTCATGGTCAGGGCACATGCCTAGATTATGGGCTTGATCCCCAGTACGGGCCTTGCAGGAGGCAGCTGCTCAATGATGTTCCTCTCATTGATGTTTCTCTCTCTCTATCCTTCTCCCTGCCTCTCTCTCTAAATATCAATAAGAACATATTTTTTTTTTTTTTTTTTTTTTTTTTTTTTTTTTTATTGATTTTGTACAGACAGGAAGGGAGAGAGATAGAGAGTTAGAAACATCGATGAGAGAAAGTCATCGATCAGCTGCCTCTTGCACACCCTTTACTGGGGATATGCCCGCAACCAAGGTACATGCCCTTGACCGGAATCGAACCCGGGACCCTTCAGTCCCCAAGCCGACGCTCTATCCATTGAGCCAAACCGGTCTCGGCCAATAAAAACATATTTTTTAAAAAATAAACAAGCAGAGTCTAGCTTCACTGAGGTCAGGGAGGCGATCAGTGAAAGCAAGGTTAGACATGAAAGCAGATTCACAATTACACTGGAATTATGACCCCGTATGCTCATCAACCAATTGCCCAGACTGAGCCGGGGCAGGGCACATGTAAGCACGTACACACGCCCCCGCCAGCACCTCTGCCATTCCTAAAGAGCAGTCATCCATGCAGCTGTACGCAGGAAAACATGCCTCAGAGCTCATGTTGCTACATCTGCTAGCTCACAAGAATATCCTCACAAGAGATGAGTGAAGGGTCCTTCGTGTGTAGAGCTTAGGGTGGGTGAAGTTAATGGTGACTCATCGCTACTCGGATTCATGTTTTAGACAAATGATTATATGTAAGTTTTTTCCAAACTTACCAGCAACAACTATGGAGATTTCCTATGTGCCCTTAACCCCACGAGAGGGTCCTAGCATCTCAGTACATGCAGCTGCTCACATCCTCACTCTCAGTGGGCGCGCCTGACCCTATGCCGTTGGGATTCAAAGCACCCCCTGGCCAGGGCTTACGGAAGTTAGTTCCTAAGCGCCTATGCACATGCAGGGTAAGACTCCATTCCTGATACCTGGACCCAAACTGGACACAAGAAAACTCATCACCACCACCAACACCTTCATCATCACCATCATCATCTTCTTCTTCTTCATCATCATCATCACTACTGTCCCCAGAAAGCGCGAGGAAGAGGAAGGAGAAAGGACTGTCGTACATACTACCACAACAAAAGCAAAAAAGGTGGTCAGGAGCAAAGGAAAAACCAGAGGGCGAAAGCGTTTGCTGTCCGGTTAGTTACATCTGATGCCGGAAGTGTTCTCTACGGACATGCAGGAGAGGAATTCCCCTGAGCTACGGGGATGCACAGGGACCCGTGGGAGGGGCACTGGCTGATGGAAGTCTGCTAGGAGCTGCAGTCAGAGTCAAGGCGCAAATGCTGGTCCAGCCCAGGGACCAGCGCTGAGGGACACCAGGCCCAGCTCTGACCACCACCACTTGGTCTGCCTATATTTCAGCTGTCACTGTCAACAGCAGAAAAGTCAGAAAGTGGTTCTGTGATCCCAGCTCTCCAATACAAACTGCCTACAGCCTCTGAAATTTGTCTGTGATTGACATGTGAATTCAACTTGAAAAACTAAGTTACTTTTTCTTCCTTACTTTTCTTTTTATGGGACACAGAAAAGGTAAGGGGAAGGTAGGGAACAAAGGTGCCCACGACAGAGCCACCCATGCTTTCTGGTGCCACCAAAGCCGGGCAGAAGCAGGGAGTCAGGGCGCGAGCCTACCAAACTAGTTAGACACGCGGGTTAATAGCCCAACGGAAAACCCCGGTAGCTGCGGTCAGTGTCACACAGCAGGCCTTCCAAACCGTGTTAGCCTGCTCCCCTGCACCGCACACACGCCGCTCTCCTGCCGCATGAGTACCTAGGAGACGTCCTGAGGGAGGAGGGCCGTCTGCTCAGGGCACCGGGCGAGGCGGGCAGGAGAGCTGGCCCCGCGCTGGTGGCCCTCTGTCGGGAGGAGCTGGCCGGCACTGCTTGAGGGCTACTAGCGAGGGCGGGGAGGCCCGGGGAGCTGGCCAGAAGGGCGATGCCTGGGGGCCTCGGGGTGAGAGAGCTGGAAGGCCCCCCGGGGTGGGTGACCGTGTAGGGGCGATACCGCGGCGATGGCGATGGCGGCTGGCTTCCAGCGCCGGGGGCCGGGCCAGGAGCACTGAGGGAAATGGAAGGCACAGCCACGTGGCTGGCTGGCCCGGAGGAGGAGGCGAAAGGCAGGCCGATGGCCGGCACAGAGCTCCAGAAGCTCGCGCTGGGAGAGGGGCTAGTGTCATAGAGGCTGAATTAGGTGCGAAGAGGAGGGAAGAAGAGAAAAGGGAAGAAAAACTTGAGATAAATCATTAAAATGGAAAATATCAAGCTTTTAAAGAACAGCATAGTCACACTTCCCATCGCTAAGCATTCAAGTATACAAATCTTTCAGATACCTAAATAAGAACCACCTAATTGCCGTAAAGGTCTAGAAGTTTACTTGTAATATTTTAAAGTCTTCTTGCCAAAGAATAATGTACAATATTTATTTCTAAGTTTTAATTTACCAAAGCCAAACCATGGAAAGCAAGAGACCCATCTGAAAAGGACAGTGCCCCCGAATATGGCCCTGCGGTAATCTGGTGGCACAGGCCCCCCAAAGAACGCTCCCTGCTCCTATACACACGTGGCCATCTCTGCCACTCACATGTGTGTAAAGAACCACACTGACCTAGACATAGAGCTGGCGCCGAAGGACCCCACGCTGCAGAACATGGGGCTTGTCCCGGGGCCCGAACCAGTGTTCAGGGTGAGGTTCCTGTCGGGTGACCGAGCTGCCGCGGCGATTGGCTGGGACGTGGCTGTCAGACTGGCGAATGGGTTTTCATCTCTAGTCTGAGTGGACATCATTAGCACTTCCATTAAAATCTGGCCAATCAAGTCCTTAAAATCAGAGAACACTGTTGGAAAGGCAGAATAAAAGGGAGGTTACACGTGGTTCTTCAAATAGTCTTTGAAAAAGCCAAAGGGAACCGGAGGTGCGGTGAGGGGCCCCGGCCTGGGCTGGACCTGGAACAGGAAAGAGAGGTCAGTGGAGAATGGAGGAATCCGAATCTGGCCTGGGGTGCAGCTCACAGGAAGGTCTTGGTTTTGACAAGTCTCCGGTGGCTGTGTAAGATGTTAGCGCTGGGGGAACTGGGTGAAGTGGATGCAGAAATCCCTGTGCTCTCTGACACTGTTCTAGAAATCTAGAATTACTCCAAAATACAAACCTCATTAAAAAAAAATTATTAGAGTGCAGTCAGTGAGTTACTGCTGACATGTATTAGCTGTAAAAAAATTACTCCCAACTAGAGGTTAGTTTATCAGACTAGAAATGCAACTGGGTTAATATTTGTTCTCCCTTATATGTTTTTATACACCGTAAAACTATCAAGCACAAAGTTCAAAGTGTTTTATGAAGGGTCTGATTTCTAGTCACAGGTTGGCTTTCTGGAGCAGATTCCCACTGCTTAGCTTCCTTCTCACGTTCTGCAGCTCCCAACTGCTTCACTGTATGTAGGTCTTTAAATCCATTTTAAACATCACTACATAAATAGCAGTTCTGATGCAGGCAAGTCTTATCTGATTTGGCTATTAAAAATTATAGCCCAGCTGGTGTGGCTCAGCAGTTGAGCATCAACCCAGGAACCAAGAGGCCATGGGTTCGATTCCCAGTCAGGGCACATGTCCAGGTTGAGGGCTCGATCCCCAGTGCCCAATCAACAATTCTCTCTCATCACTGATGTTTCTATCCCTCTCCCTTTCTCTCTAAAATCAATAAGAATAAAATGTATGTAATGAGAGATTAAGTGCAAGGCACCCTTCTTGGCACTGGGAATGCATCAAACCAGACAAAAACCCTTGCCAGCAGCACTGCTGTGACCTGCAAGAGAACACGCTTGCCCACCTCCCCCACCTCTTCTGCATTCCAAATGGTGGCCATGCTGTTTTATTACTTTGCTGTAAGTGTGGTGTAGTGCAGCTTCTTAAAATAGAATACTGGGAACGCAGCAAATATCAATATGTCCAATCGTGCTAAGCAATTGAATTCAGCAGATTTACTCCTGTCCACAAAGGCGGGGAGGCACTGAAGGCAGGTGCAGGCCCTACAGAGCGCGTCTCCCAGGGTCCCTGGAGACTACCCAGAATGCTCCAGCTTTTAAGAGGTGCTAATGCTCTAAGTATCTTCTTTTTACAGAAAAAAAAATGTCAACACTGAGACAAGGGACACTATTAACTTATTTATACTGTTTTCTTTTAGGGAATCGAAAAGTAAAAAAGGAATGTACTGAGGAGGTCAGTGGAAAGTTGCCAGACATCAGCGCCCTCACCAAGAAGGACCCCTGTTTTCAAACCCCCACCCAGAGCAGGACAGGGTGACGGGACAGCAGGAAGGGCAAGACCTCACGTTCTCATTTCCCCTTAAGGACAGCTCCCTGAAATAGGACGGCTGAGCTAGAGTCCTACCTTCTTTTGGGTTCTGCTTAAATTGCGCAGAGAGAGAAGAAAGAAAGATGACATCTCTGTCCCGGTCCTTCCAGGAGACACGAAAGATCTTACAGACCAGCTGTAAGGCCTGCTCTTCAGACACTTCCGAACCCGCCGACGGCTCCTGGTGAGGAAGGAGATTTTGGGGTTAAGTTTAAGAAGTGGGAGGTCCGAGTCAGACTTCTCGGAATAGAAATACTCAATCCCAACTTAATTCATTTCAGAAATGCAGAGAGCTATTCACCCACTGATTCAGAGAAAGGTAAACCTAGTACTATGACGTTAGAGCTACACTTTTCACAACACTAAAGAACTGCATAAAATAAAGCATCAGACTGCTTACACTCCATTTTTAACAATCAACAACATGTGCTGCTGAACTCGAATCACTTGCTTAACAGAAAGTGATGCAATAACCTACACCAGGTCCACACCACCCCCAAAATAGCAAAAAACCCACAACCCCCTTCTTCTAAATATAGAAACTGAACTCAGACGATAACAAAATATGAAGACTTCATGTTTTCAAGACGTTTGTTCTTGCTGCTGGGTCCCACATCCTAGTACTGTCTCAACTTCCAGTCATTTTCCTTGGAATAGTCCCAAAGACGTGAGGATCTGCTTGCTTAAGACAAACACCAACAGAAAACATTCAAAGTAGCTCTGAGTGAATTCCTATTACAAACCAAATTTCCTGTTGGAAACATGGGCTTGAAACAAAGATAAGGGAAGAATTTTATCAGTTACAAGGTCTGAGTTAGGCCAGCTGGCTCGGCTCAGTGGTTGAGTGCCGACCTATGAAGTAGGAGGTCAAGGTTGATTCTGGTCAGGGCACATGCCTGGGCTTGATTCCCCAATGGGGAAGTGCAGGAGGCAACCAATCAAGGATTCTCTCTCATCATTGATGTTTCATTCTCTCCCTCTCCCTTCCTCTCTGAAATCAATAAAAATATTTATTTTTGTTAAAGACTGAGCTGTACTTCCATTAGTGAGGGCAGGCTGGGCTACCCGTTTTTCCTCAAAATAAAAAACCAGTCACCTGACCAGGACCTGCTGACTGGGTGGCCCACTCTAACAGACTCCGCAGACACGACGCCGTTTCCCTGTGTTGTCCCCTGACCTACCAACAGAAGCCAAGCCCCCTCCTACCCACCTTGTCGCTGAGGCTCCTTTTTTCTCGTCGATCATTCTCATCCACTTCCATATTTTCAATTCCTGAATCCACATCCACCTGGGACATGCTTGAAGTACAAAAGACAAATAAGTCTTTTACCTTTCATATCTGGCTGAGGAAGTTTTTAAATATCAATCAAAATCAGTCAGCAAAGCGAAATAATAAAGGTTTGTTCTTCCCCCCCCCCCATTAATTCTTTAAAGAGCTCTCTTCATATATATAGTAAGATATAAACATTCTATCATAATGGTAATATTTTTCCCAAGTTGTCATTTTCTTAGGCTCACTTTCAAAAAAACAGTTAGAACTTATTCTCTACACATATTATGGTAAGCTATATACAATCATTCAGAGCCTGATTATAAAATCTTGTTAAGAACATATAGTATTTTCCTCCACATTAAATAAATGTCCCAGGACCATTTATTGACAAGACCATCATTTTTACACTAATATGAAGTCACCTACCCATATGTCCTCTTATGTAGTATATGTGTGGGTCTATTTCTGGACACTGGTTTCTGTTCCATTAGACCATCTGTTTGTCCCTGAGCCAATACCACGCTCTCTTACTAAAACTTCACACTAAGTCATGATACCTGCTGGCTCAGTGCCTCCACCTGGTTCTTCTGCTGTAGGAGAGTCTTGGCCTTTCTTGGCCTGTTGCTTTTGCATACATAACTAAGCATTCACTTGCCAGGTTCCTTAAACAATCTGTTAGGATTTTGACTAGAATTTCACTGACTCCAGAGATCAAAGTGAGGAGAAATGGCATCATTCTGTTACTGAGTTCATTAAGGTCTTTGGATAAACTTTTATAATTTTATCCACAAGTCTTTCACTTCCTTCGCTCAGTTTATACCTATGTACCATATGTTTTTAAATTAAATTATGAATGGTACCTTTTTAAAAATTAAATTTTCTAATTTTTTGTTGTTGTTAGTACACAGGAATGTAACTGATTTTGGAGATCTATTTTAAGCAACTTTACTTATAAATAGGGCTCACTAGGTGGATAATCATTTTATCTTTGAACAATAAGTGTTTTGTTTCTTCCACTCCAATCCCTACTTGCTCACTGCACGGGGTAGGATCCCCATGGCGAAGAGAAGCAGAAATAATAGTCATTCTGTTCTTATTACTGATTCTAAAGGAGTGTTTCTAACTCCTCGCCACTGAAAACAAGAGCGCTGTGATTTTCTGGTAGATGTTCTTTATATTAGTCAGAATAGGATAGGCTATTCTGCGGTAACACATATACTCTGAAATCTTAGAGGCTTAACACTATAAGGGTTTATTTCTTGCTTACGCAAAGTCTGGTGAGAGTGAAGCATCCTTACTTCATCTTTAATCTATGCCATCTGCAATACTCAGCCTCCCAGGTCACTGGAGCAAGAGAAGAGAGGGACGGAGGAGGAACATCGGCTCAACTGCCTTTCCTAAAAGTGACACATGTCACTTCCACTCACAGTCTATGGGACAGAACTAGTCACCTGACCCCAATCTAGCTGCAAAGGAGACTGGAAGTGCAGGGGACAATGTGATTATTTTGTTAATTCTATCTCTGCTACTTTTGGTTTAAAGACGCACCTTTCTGAACCCTGTTTGTTAAAATTTTTATCATCAATTATGTTGAAGTTCAGCACAATTTGCAATGGCTTTTCTCTTTTAGAATATGGTGAGTAATATTTATAGATTTTCTAACATTAAAGCACCCCTGGATTCCTGACATAAACTGAAGTTGATCATATTATATTGTATTTCTCATATCACATTAACCTATAAAATTACATGAGCAGGGCTCTTTTGTTGAAAAATTTAAAATACTGATTCAATTTATTTCATGTGTTTTTTAAAATTATTATTCAAGTCTTCTCTTTTTTGTTCAATTTTGGGAGAAAATATGTTTTTCTTTTTCTTTTTCTTTTTTTTTAAAAATATATTTTATTGATTTTGTACAGAGAGGAAGGGAGAGAGATAGAAAGCCAGAAACATCGATGAGAGAGAGTCATCGATCAGCTGCCTCTTGCACACCCCCTACTGGGGATATGCCCGCAACCAAGGTATATGCCCTTGACCGGAATCGAACCCGGGTCCCTTCAGTCCCCAAGCCGACGCTCTATCCATTGAGCCAAACCGGTCTCGGCGAAAATATGTTTTTCTAGGAATTTGATTTTCATCCAATTTTTCAAATTTATTTGCATTTGCATATTCACATTTTTCATGGAATTCCCCCTTTCAATAACAAATATTACTAAGCGTCCATTCTATGGAGGGCTTGTGCTTGGTGTCTGAAATGTTAATCAACAAAAAAGGCCAAAAAAATTTTTTTTAAATAAATAAATCACTGCACCATGGAGCATACATCCCATCTAGAGATAGAAAGAGAATCAACAGCCTGGCCTCTGGGTGGCTCAGTGGTTAAGCGTCAACCTGTGAACCAGGAGTCATGGTTCATTTCCTGGTCAGAGCACATGCCAGGGTTATGGGCTCCATCCCCAGTGGGGGATGTGCAGGAAGCAGCTGATCAATGATTCTCTCTCATCATTGGTGATTCTCTCTCTCTCCTTCGCCTTCTCCCTTCTTTTCTGAAATCAATTTAAAAAAAATTTTTTTAAAGAATAAACAATAAACATAAATAAGCAAAGCACATAGTATAGTAAGTGCTATGGAAAAATTAAAGAAAAAGAAACAGGGAAAAGGCAACTGAGAGTGCAGGGCTTCCTGCTTGAAATGGGGTGAGCCCCACTGAGAAATGCCAGCTGAGCAGAACTATGAAGGAGCTTAACCCCATCCAGGCCCAGGAGAAGAGCATTCCAAACAACAGGTTCTTAGTCCCAGTATCTACTTGTATTCTTTCTTTCCTTTTTAATATATAACAGCTTTCTATAGTATTTTCTTCTAAGGACCACGTTAGCTGCAACACACAGATCGTGATTTATAATATTTGTTACTGTTCATCCCACATACTTTCATTGTGCTTTTTTCTTTAACCTGTATATAAAAGCATACTCCATTTCTAAAATTTACAAATGTCTTAAAGTTCTTTGTTTGTTTATTTTTTATTTTTTAAAAATTAAATTATCTGTGTACATATCTTACCATTGCCCCCACTCCAATTCCCAATACATGCCCTCCCTCCCCAGAGTTTTGTGTCCATTGGTTGTACTTATATGCATGCACACAAGTCCTTCGGTTGATCTCTTATCTCCCCCAGGGTCTTAAGGTTTTTTAAAAAGTTTTTGCCCTAGCTGGTTTGATTCAGTGGATAGAAGGTTGGCCTGCAGATCTAAGGGCCCCGGGTTCGATTCCAGTCAAGGGCACATGCTCAGGTTGTGGTAGGGGGTGGGCAGGAGGCAGCTGATCAATGAGTCTCATCATTGATGTTTCTATCTCTCTCCCTTCCTCTCTGAAATCAATAGAAATATATTTATAAAATAAGTCTTCCCCCCTAATTATCAAACCTAATGCTAGTGAGAAAACATGACCTGTAAGATACTGACTCTTGAAACTTTTTGGTTAGTGAGTATTAGGAAAACAATGTGTGTTCTCTAACTGTACAGTACAAAGCTCTGTATCTTTCCACTGGATCAAGTTTGCCAGCTGGTTGTTTAATTTGTCCATATGTTTCCTCATATTTATTCTCTTTAATCTATTGATAAATGTTTTACATATTGTTAAAACACTCCCACTATGACTGTGTCAGTTTCTTCTAGTTCTGTCAATATTTGCTTTATTGCATATTGCTGTTATATTACTAAGTACACAGAATTTCAGAACTGTTCAATCCTACAGATAAACAAATTTGTCCTGCCAAAACCGGTTTGGCTCAGTGGTAGAGCATCGGTCTGCGGACTGAAAGGTCCCGGGTTCGATTCCGGTCAAGGGCATGTACATTGGTTGCGGGCGCATCCCGGTAGGGGGTGTGCAAGAAGCAGCTGGTCGATGTTTCTCTCTCATCGACGTTTCTAGCTCTCTATCCCTCTCTCCTCCTCTCTGTAAAAAATCAATAAAATAAAAATAAAAAAACAAATTCCTTATATAGTGCTTATCTAGTAATAGTTTGTGCCTTAAAGTCTACTTCATTAATATGCTTACCCCAAGTTTCTTTTGTTTACTTTGTTATGTTTGCCTGGTATACCTTTCTTTATCATTTTTGTTTTTAACCTTCTCTAACCTAATGTTTCAGATATTCCTTTTATAAACAGGTATAAAGCTGAGTTCTGCTTTGTTTTCAATACAACCTATTCCTTTTCACTATGATTTGCTATAACCGCTGACATATTTTCACTTCTTTTGACCCTCTTATTTTGTGCTATTTGTCTCTTTTTATTGTAGAAACTTGTTTCTTCCTTCCCTTTCTTTGAATTGACTTACCTCCACCCTCCCACCTACTCACCATGGTTCCATATTTTCCTTTTACTGGTTTGGAAGATATACCCTATTTCCATTCTATTAGTGGCTACCCTTGAAATTTAATCAAGTATTCTTAAGTCAAAATCTAAAACTTGCCAGTATCTTGAAAAAAAAAAAAGGTTGGCCAGTATCTTTACCCCTTTTCTCAAGTATACAAGGACTTTAAATCTTGCCTGGGTCCATGACTCCTGCCCCACCCCCCTCCCTTTACGGCTGACCTACTGCTGGCGAGCTAAATGTAGACCTATCTGATTTTCCTACACTGTTATTATTGCTTTATTATACCATCAGTGTTTATTATTTCCTTCACTCATCCTTCCTTCTTGCATGTCAGATATTATTCCTGAGATCATTTTCTTCCTTAACTACATCTGTTAAAAAGTTAGGGGGCCCTAGCGGGTTTGGCTTAGTGGATAGAGCATCAGCTTTTGGACTGAAGAGTCCTGTGTTTGATTCCAGTCAAGGGCACATGCTCTGGTTGCGGGCTCAATCCCCAGTAGGGGGCATGCAGGAGGCAGCCAATCAATAATTCTCTTTCATCATTGATGTTTCTATTTCTCCCTCTCCCTTCCTCTCTGAAATCAATAAAATATATATTTTTTAAATAGTTGGGGGTCTTTTATTGCAGGCTATCTGGCTGTTTTGTTGTTTTTAATCTACAGATGTCTTTATTTCACCCTTGCTCTTAAAAGATCGTTCCAAAAGGTACACACTTTCTAGTAGACTTCCTGACAGCATTCAACGCTATTACTCCAACATCTTCTGGCTGCCATCATTGAGACATCTAATAATCCCCTTTCTGACTACTTAGAGGTCTTTCTCTTTGGTATTCTACAATTTTACTCAGAGACGTCTAGATAGAATTTGCTTTTTGTTTAACCTGTTTGCGAGTTGCTGGGCTTCCTGAATCTGGAGATTCATATCATTCATCAACTCTAGAGAAATTCTCAGCCATTTATCTTTTTTTTTTTTTAATTTGCAATTAACATTCAGTATTATTTTATATTTCAGCCATTTATTTTTTGATAATGGCTTCCAAACCAGTGGAGGGCATGCAGGAGGTAGCGGATCAATAATTCTCTTTCATCATTGATGTTTCTATCTCTCTCTCCCTCTCTGAAATCAATAAAAAAATATATATATATATTTTTTAAAGAAAATACATGTATTCAAAGCAAAGGTAATAAGAACAAAATTGTTTTTACTCCACGGGGTCAACTTGATCTTTCCCCTGAGAGTGCTGACCTTCCAGAATTCTTGCCTAATGTGTGTGATCACTATTCTGGTTCCTCACCCCCAGTCCCACCCAACTACTGAAGCTCTATGCTAGTCCTGCTCAACCTTTTTCATATCATCACACACAGAGAAGGTAGTATTTGTCTGGCCTACTGGCATAAACAGAGGGGCAGCTTAGGGCAGCGGAAATGGGCCTGGGAGTTGGGGTGGGTGGCTGGCTGGCCCAAGGAATAAAGAAATCAACGCCTCGGCCACTCTATCACCTGGTCCTGGTGCACCCACAGCACAGGAAGTTCTGCGCCAGGACACCCGGTCCTTACAGAGCTCTTAGACTGCTTGGCTCAGTTGGGTCAGTCCACTCACTGAGCTCCATCCACATTTTAAATTTTCACTGATCAGTAAAATTTAGAAGAAATACTGACAGATGATGTCAACTTTTGTTTTTAAAGACATTAAAAAACTAAAAACATTTTTTTACCACCTACACCATTATTTCACAAAAGACATTTCAACACCAAAAACATAAAAATGGTATAAAGAACACTTACGAATAATACAAAGAGCTTTAAGTTTAATAAATTTAGCTCTAATTTGCTATGGTCTGGCATGGACCTCTGGGCTGACATCTGAGACTAATGACTAGAGACTAAACTGAATGGCTCTTTCTCTTTCCATAAGTCCATTTTGTTGGGAAATGGGCTCACTTTACCTTTTCTCACAAGAGACACCGTCAATATCCATGCTCTGGGAACGGGAGAGAGACTGCGACTGCGTTTCAAGGCTATTGGAGGGCGAGCTGCTGAGAGAACTGACTCCTTCACTGCTCTGGCTTCGATGGGCCACTCCTAGTCAGAAAAAGACATGAACGTTAAGTCTCATGTGAAACAGCAGTAAAACCATTTGTAATGACAACAGTAAGTATGCACACCATTGTGACAGTCAGCAATCGAAGAATCCTATATAATGAAAGCGTAATATGCAAATCAATCGAATGGCCCAACAGCAGAACGACCATCTGGATGACCTTCCAGATGGAGCCAGAACAGCTGCGGTGACTGTAAGGGCCGAGCCAGTTGCAGGGGCTGTGAGGGCCAAGCCCCTTGCACGTATTTTGTGCATCGGACCTCTAGTTTCTAACAAAAGATTACACTCAATGCAAAAGTATTAAAATCATAGGAACATTAACAATTAGTCATAACTTACCAAAATACATCATATGATGTCAGTAACAGAGCTATATCTAATATCTAGAACTGATTCCTCATCAACTTCTTTTTCACTCATTTACACTGATCCTGGAATACAAATTAGCCTCCATCACAGGCCAGGAAAATCCTTGAAATGTACCAAAAACAAGATACACCAATGAAGGGATATACAGACATGCAGATGAAGAGGTATGATAAAGCAAATACACTAAAATGTTAATAGAAGAATACAGGTGGTGGGTTTATAGGTGTTCATTGCAAAATTCTTTCAAATCTGCTGTCTGCATTAACTTGTCATAATAAAATGTTGAAAGCATGCAAATGGACCCCCCCTGAGCTAATGCTAAATACAGGTCATGCACTATTGAGTGGCAGCCAGGGTAAAGAAGTAACTGAACCTGTCCTTGCCCTCACAGACCTTCCAGGGGAGGGAACCGCATGTGCACGGGGACGGATTTCTCATCGATGTCTTTAAAACCAGGTTTTCATGGATTTTAAAAAGTACTTTAACTCTATGAATATCCAGATATCTACAAGTACTTCAAAAATATAGGTTAATAAAAATACAAAATACAGGCTGTTCTAAAAAATGTATACACAGTTTAACAGCTGACAACTCAACTAATGTTTCTTTAGATGTAACCCCCTGGAATTAATTGTGGTATTCAACGTATATATACATTTTTGGGACACCCTGCATATACCTATTGTGGTGAAAGGAAAATGAGACTTACATTTCTTCAAAAACAAAATCAAAACAACTTGAGTTACCAGTTGTAGCTGAAACTACCACCAAGTGGATAACATTTTAACCATCCCAGCATTCCGAGAAAGTGGCCACCCTTTGACGCCTCTCCACTGAAGAATGTTACAAAACATTTATCTAGTTCTGATAGCAATTTTAACATATATCTCTTTATTACAACTTCTGCAGGTCTCATGAAGGAAAAGAGAAACGAAATTGTCAGTGTTCCTAAGTAGACTCAAGGAAAACATGGAAAACATCTAATGTAGTGAGAATTCTGAGAAGCTTGTGGAAGACAGCAAAACTTTAAATTCATTAATTCAAGAAGTGTAATGCACACTAGGTTCTCAGTAAATATTTATTGAAGGACTAGATAACAGAGCACCAATAATGACTTTAGGAGATCATTGATTTATCTATCACAATGAAAGGTCTGAGAATTTTTTAATAAAAACGAATCAATAATAAACGTCAACAATTTTTATGGGATAGCAGGTCAGCATATTTAAAAAGCCTACCTGATAAAACCAGGCCTCAGAATAAACTGATAATTACAGTACACTGTCTGAAAACCTGTATTTGTAATATCACATACTATAGCTACACTCTGTGTACAACAGCCCATAGCAATACAGTGCCAGAGTATTCCACTCAAGCTAATGGACTGCATTTTAATCCTATATAATAAAAGGCTAATATGCAAATTGTCCCCTCAGGAGTTGGACTGCTCACTATGACGTGTGCTGACCACTAGGGGTCGGTGCAGAAGGAAGGCCCAGCTGGCAGCCAGGGAAGGGAAGGCTCTGGGGATGCTACCTGTGTACGAATCTCATGCACCAGGCCTCTAGTGTTTCTCTAACACATCCAGGAGATCACCTGCGTGCTCTCTTCCTGAACTCTCCACGTGAGCCTCACATTCTGGGTCAAGTGGGGCAATTCTCCCAGAATTAATTCTGTTTACTAGTTCCTCCATCTGTACAACCACATGACCCCACTCCTTTCTGAAACTTAAAAACCAGATGGTCTGACTTCATTCAGAATCAATATGAATTCAATATTATGAGTCAAACCAATCAAAGCACTTGTACAAAATACTGCTTTGTTCTCAAACCACACACGCATGCGTCTGTCTTCACCTGCTCCCACCCCTAACTTGAGAAATCACTACCAGGAGGCCAAGCTTTAAGGCATAGATAACCCCCCTTCACGTCCATAAAACCAGACACTAAAGAATTAAAACACAGACAAACCTCTGATCCTCTTTCAGAAGAGGAGTAAAATCTCTCCATACCAACTTTGAAGAATGAGGGTGCGTATAACAAAGAACAGAGAGAGCCATGTCTGCTTAATAAAATATGAATTACAACTTTCAAAATGGCAGCTTCCCAAACTGCTATGACTACTAGGATCCTGTTAAAGAATTACACATTCTGTGTGGGAAGGCTGGATTTTTTTTAATAGAGTTTTATTTTTGTAAGTTTTTGCTCCTAGCATTGAAGTATTTCCTGAATGATATTCCCTTTTAGGTATAAACCAAACCAAATGCCTATAGTTAAGCTGCAACTCTAGCTCGGTTCCAGTATCTCTCTCTCTCTCTCTCTCTCTCTCTCTCTCTCTCTCTCTCACACACACACAAACACTATTTTATCCTCTTGAGATTTTAAAAAAATTTTTTTCAATTGTTTTTAGAGGTAGAGGAAAGGAGAAGGAAAGAGAGAGAGAGAAACATCAATGATGAGAGAGAATCACTGATCAGCTGCCTCCTGCACATGCCCCATGGGGATCAAGCCCACAACCTGGGTATGTGTCCTCAAATGCTGAGCCACACCGGCCAGGCTTGAGATTTCTTTAAGCTACACATGCTTATGGCATTCTGGTCTTTTTCTCTTGCGACTGATTAATTCAGCAGATCTTTTATTCGGTGCCTATCAGGTGCTGCACTGTTAAAGGCTCCGTCCCCTGGAGCTTCCCTCTAGGAGGGGGGCAGAGAAAATAGGACATGCAGGTAGCACATGTGCCACGTCGGCCCAAGAAAAACCATCTGTGTGGAGAGAGGCTGTGGTTTCAGACAGGGCGGCCAAGGAAGGTGTTATTGAGAAAGTGACAAATAAACATCTGGAGAGTTAAGCAAAAAAGCCTGTGGATTTTAGGGCATGAGCATTCTAGGCATAGAAACAAAAAATATAAAGGCCCAAGCAGGGATCACGCCTGGAATGTTCCAGAACAGCAGGGAAGCCAGCATGGCCGGAGCAGAGGAAGTGAGAAAAGCGCTGAGGGGAGGTCGGGCCGGCAGCAGGGTTGGGCCACATGCAGCCCTGGCCGGGGAGGCAGGGAGCCAGTGCAAGGTTTTGATCTGGCACGACCTTTTTATGAGGGGTTTGTCTCCTGCTTGTTCTGTTTAAACTTGTTTACTTAATAGATTCATGCAAATTTGTCTCTCCAACCTGCCAAGGGCATGGCCAGCAGCATCTCCCTGTGTGTAATTATGAATAATGGCGACTATGTGAGAAACACAATGAGGACGTCACAGCACAGAGGCTGTACCTGCGTGTGGGCGTCGGAATGAGCTGGCTGTGAAACTGACGCTGCTGTTGTATGTCGTGGTCCTTATGCTGTAGGGACCCACTGGCTCCACACTGCGGCCGGGGAGGGCCTGGCGAGACCAGTGAGGAGGCCCCCAGCACCCAGGCAGGCCCCGCAGGTGCCTGGGACCTGGGTGGCAGCAGGATGGGTGAGGTGGGGTGGGAGAATCTGGTCAGGTTCTATTTTGCTGATGGACCTGGGATAAGGGCCAGGAAGCTAGTCCGCGGGCCACATCTGAATAAAGCTTTATTGGAACACAGCCACGCTCCTTCATTTGCATATCGTCTGTGCTTGTGTTTGTGCCACAGGGTGGAGAACAGCTGTGGCAGTGACCACCCGGCCTTCAAGGCCAAAGTTATTTACTTCCTGGCCCTTTACAGGGAGAGTTTTCATGACCCGCAGCTAGAATATGAGGTAAACAGGGGAGATGATGCCCAGGCTTAAGCAAGTAGGGGGAAAAATATTTATTTATTTTTGTCATTTATAATGTCATAAATAAATGTCATTTATTGGGACGGGGTCCTGGGGGAGGACGACATGTGAGGAAGCATCAGGAGCTCGACTGTGGACAGGTTAATGGTGAGATGGGAATTGGATGGTGTTTGAGTCTGAAGCTCAAGGAACAGGTCTGGGCTGGAGTGACAAGCTGAGGAGTCATCAGATTAGAGACAGGAAAGCCAAGGAGCCAGATACATCAGGAAGAGAGTAACCACAGGAGAGAATGGGAGCTTAACTCTGAGTCCGGGGCACGCTAACGTCAGAACGCAGAGACGTGAAGAGCCACGCAGAGAGCCAAGAGAACAGAGACGGGAGGAAACCAGCACTGTGGTTCCTGGGACAGCGGTCGCCAGCCTTTCGGAGCTCACGGAACACCAGTGGCTCACAGAACACCGTGGACCGCTGTTCTATAACAGAAGGGAGGAAACCATTTCAAGGAAAGAAGGGCCAAAGCCAGACGCAGTGAGGCTGACAGGCCAGCTCAGATGGTGACTCGGGACCACGAGGCCTCGTCTGAGGGAATCAGTTCAGCAGAGGGTGTGAGGGCAGAGGGGGGAGAAGTTCTGTTGTGAATGGGTGCAGAGATGTGGATGGAAGCCCGCAGGGGAAATGAGATCAGGAGTTCCCCCTCCCCTCCTTTTTTAAATCCTCCCAGAGGATATGTTTATTGATTTTTAAAGAGAAGAAGGGAGAGAGAAACACCACCCAACAGGGAACCGAACCTGCAACGTAGGTACTATGTGTCCTGACGTGGAATCGAATCTGCAACCTTTCAGTGTATGGACTGACACACCAACAACTGAGCCCCCTGGCCGAGGTAAGAGTTCCTTTTCATTAATTCCCAGGCTGGGAGAAGAACAGAATGTAAATGGCTAATAAAACATGAGTTTTCACTGGAGCTGGGACTCTGACACAGCAGGAGAAATGGGCTGCTGGGGCAGGGCTCTGAGCCGGTGGGAGGAGCTGGGAGAGGGCAGGCCCACAACGAGGGGGGCAGTGCAAGCCCTTCGGTAGGTCCTTTCTGCCTCACGTTTTGGTTTTCTTCACGGATAGGAAGGCGGGCCAGCAGCGAAGAGTGCGCAAGGAGAAGGAGGCTGCAGACTGCAGAAGGTAGGAATAATTAGCAGAGTGGGAAAGGAAACCAGGAAATCCTATATACTAATATGCTAATTAAATCGGATGGTGGAATGACCTTCCCGAATGTCCTCCCAGAGGACCTTCCAGAACAACCAGTGGGCGGGGCTGCAGGGCCGCGATGGGCTATGATTGGGCCGAGGCAGCGGGGCTGTGAGGGCCGAGCCCCTTGCAGGAATTGCATGCATCAGGCCTCTAGTACGGTATAACTGTTACGGGGCCGCCTGGGTGTGTGGCCATGAGTCTGAAATGAGACGGGCAGCAGGGTTCTGGGCTTTTCTCACCACACGGGGGCCTGCTGGTCCCCACAGACAGCGTGCGTGCCCAGGAGTGCAGAGGGGCTTGCCAGGAGCAGAGTTCTGGGTCTCCTGCCGGACCTTCCCTGATGCAGGGAGACTCCCCATCGAACCAGTTCTCCCTGGACAGTTCCTAGCATTCCGGGGGGAAGGGCGTGAGGAGGGAGCTGGACTGGGGGAGGGAGGATGGCAGCCATGGTGAGACAAGGCACACTGTCTCCAAGGAAAGGTTAAACCTAACTGCAATCCCGAGCCCTGCCCCTACCAGAGGCCCAGCCAGCTCTGCAGTGCACAGAGGAGATGCTTCAGGCAAAGGCACTGTTTATTGCGAACTGATGATTTGGCCTGAACAGTTCGCATTTTCTAAGGACGCATAAGCATTTGTTTTTACATAATGATGTCTACAACAGAAACTCTGTAAAACACTTTTATTTTATTTATTTATTTAAAAATATATTTTTATATTGATTTCTGAGAGGAAGGGAGAGGGAAAGAGACAGAAACATCAATGATGAGAGAGAATTATTGATCAGCTGCCTCCTACTGGGGATGGAGCTCACAGCCTGGGCATGTGTCCTTGACTGGAATTGAATCCCGGACTATTCAGTCCTTGGGCTGACTCTATCCACTGAGCCAAACCAGCTAGGAGTGTTAAGCACTTTTAATTGACTAGTCAACCTAGACAAGACAGGTTATTCAGAGGGGACTAAGGCAGAGTGCATTCAATGACTACAGAACTAAAAACTGAATGTTCAATTATTAGATGACATGATAATCAATACAGATCTCTTAGCACCTGTTTTCTCATAATTAGGATCTTAAAATGATCACAATAATTACTAACACTGGTAATAATTGTTTGATAGAAATGTTCATTTAGAGAAAGGACAGATATTTTCAAATATTCAGTATTAAGTCACTATCATCGTTTCCCAACAAAGATACTCCTAGATGTCAACCATGAACTTATTAATTATAAAGAAATAAACCTTACTCTAGCCGATTTGGCTCAGTGGTAGAGCGTCAGCCTGAGGACTGAAGGGCATGTACATGGTTGCAGGCACATCCCCAGTGGGGGGTGTGCAGGAGGCAGCTGATCAATAACTCTTATCACTGACTAGATGCCCGGTGCACGAAATTGGTGTCCCTCAGCCCAGCCTGCACCCTCTCCAATCTGGCACCCTTTGAGCGATGTCCGACTGCCAGTTTAGGTCTGATAAATGGGCAGTCAGACATCCCTCACACAATTCAGGACTGCTGGCTCTCAACCGCTTGCCTGCCTGCCTGCCAGCCTGATCACCCCGTAACCATTCCCCTGCAAGCCTGATCAACACCTAATTGCTCCCCTGCTGGCCCAATTGCCCCAAACTGCCTTCCTCTGCTGGCCTGGTCCCCTGCAATAGCCCTCCCCTGCAGGGCTAGTCACCCCTAACTGCCCTCCCCTGGAGGCCTGATCCCCCTGCTCCCAACTGCCTTCTCTTGCAGGCCTGGACCCTCCTAACTGCCCTACCCATCTTGTGGTGGCCATCTTTAACCCTATGGGGTGGCCATCTTGTGTGTTGAAGTGATGGTCAATTTGCATATTACCGCTTTATTATATAGGATGTTTCTATCTCTCTCCTCTCCCTTCCTCTCTGAAATCTATAAAAATATATTTTAAAAACGGAAATAAACCTTTTGTTAGCTAAGTAACTGTCAGTAAGATAGCCTGAAACATCATACCTGACAAACTTTTACAGCCTGAAAATTCAGAGAAAGCATTCTATGCCAATGTAAATAAGGAAATCCATAATTAGAGGCTTATTACTTTGACCATTATTTCAATCTCATACTTTCAGATGATTTTATCTTAAAAGCATCAACCAAACTCATCAAATCAGCAGAACCAAATATAGTCTTCATCACTTTGCCATCAAAGATAAGACCTGACCCTGTTTGGAAAAAAGGATAAGTTATGGAAAGGAAAACAGTTTTAACAGATCACTATCAAAACAAGTCGACATTAACAAAGCATGCTGTAATAATCTCAAATTCTAAACTATGGCTTGCAGGATTTAAAGAAGTTGCTGTCCAATTTATTGTACCCTGTTGTGGAAATGTCAAAACTCTTAGCGAATCAGAGGCTATGATCAGAGAGCTAAGCACACCGGGAGTGAAGGGAGGCTTACCTGATGCACCGATGGGGGAGGTAGCTGGGGTCATGTTGTGGACATTGAGACCGAGACTCTGGGAGGGGCCGGGGGCTGAGGCCGCTATGGGGGGCCCCGGAGGGTTCTCCCTCTGGGGAGAGGTGAGCGGGGTGGTCGGCTGGGAGGTCTGTCCACCAGCAAGTCGAGCCAGGCGCCTCCGCCGGATCTGCGTGGGGAAAAGGCAAATGTCAGTAAACACAGGAGCGCTGGTCTGCAGAGAGGAACGTCAGCGTTATCAGTGACCACACTCGGCTCAGCGACCAAATATGCCTTGAGAATAAAGTACCCACTAGAGGAAGTATTCCCTCAGTGTACCAGTATTTCTGCAAGCCACCACCTCCCTCTTTAAAAACTGCAGCTTAAAAATTACTTTAATTCCACCCGGCCGGCACGGCTCAGTGGTTGAGCACAGACCTATGAACCAGAAGGTCACGGTTGGATTCCTGGTCAGGGCACTTGCCCGGGCAGTAAGCTCCTTCCCCAGAGTGGAGCATACCGGAGGCTGCAGATGTATGCTTCTGCCTCATCACTGATGTTTCTATCTCTCCCTTTCTCTCTGAAATCAATAAAAATATTTTAATATTTAATATTTAAAGTTTTATTTTAATTCCTAAATTCTACCCCAAACCAAATGTTAAATTAGATGTGACGATAGAATAAACATGTTTTCACACACTCACACACACACACAAATAAATAAAACTGCATCTTACTCGCCTTACTCATCTTATCTGTCTATCACACTTTCTTGACTGATTTTGTGAATTTACAATTAGCACACCACACTTTACAACACTAAAGCTTATTGTTATTTTAATAAAACTAAATAACATGGCCATTTTAATCACTCAAATAATGGCAGAACGTAACAAAGGTTGTACTAAGACACACATTTTACTTATCACGTTCAAGAGCAGAAGGTCTAGTGAAGAGACTAAGTTTTCATGGAAAGCAGCATTCAGAAATTTGCTCAGAATTAAGTTTCAGTACCAGAGAGGTGGTTAAATTTAGCTCATGCTTGTCTTCAAAGTCAAATTCAACCTTTACTACCTACTGCCGAGGTAGTTTCAAGATAAGTTGTCAACCTTTGTGCTTCAGGTCCGCGTCTGTCCGTGGGGATAAGAACAGGGAGCCCCGAGAAAACCACCACCTCATGGAGCCCCGAGAAAACCACCGCCCTGGCCTGGCCTCTACCTCCTGGCTCTCCTGCATCTGTGCTGCTCTGTGTGCTGCTCACTCCCCACCCACAGGAAGCTTCTTAAGACTTTTCTCAGTTCTGTGCTGATGTCCCCTCAGTGCTAGAAGAGTGCTGTGCACACAGTAGGTGCCCTCTAAACGTCTGCGGCATGAATGAAAGAGACATGAAAACGTCTAGAAAACACGCTGCACATAGTTTACTGAATCGCACTATCATCTTTGGGTAAAACATGAAGTCACGTTAACGCTGGGTGCCAAGTTCAGCCTGAGATGTTCGCTCCGGATGTTCTCGGTGGCATAAACAGAATGAACGTCCTGGCTCACTGCGATGCGGGCTTGAAGGAAGAAAAGGAAGTTTTCCCGAGAAGAAAGATCTCGAAGGTGCTGGTATTTCCCAACCCCTGCCCCCGCCACTCCACAAGCACAGGTTCTGAGAAAGAATGAAGAGTCAGACTTGGTGAGCTATCCTGTGGACAAAGGGGGATGGAGGAATGCAGTTAGGGACAGGGGCGGGTCCATGCAAAACATGGACTGGTCGGACCGGTCCTGACTCCCCACCCCAAAGACCTGCTGTTAGGAGCAGAGCAGCCATGGCTGGGCAGTGCTGGGGCTGCCCGGAGCAGCGCTGCCCTTCGGTGGACTGACCACTTTCTACAATGGTAGGGACATCCGCACAGGAGCCTCCCACGGAATGATTCTGAGCAATGGCAGGCACCAAGGCCTGTCAGTCACTGCACTATTAGGAGCCTTTAATCGTCCAATTTATCACCAACAGAACATATGGGGCACAAACGAACAGCCCCAACATACCACAATATTATTAAACATTCTTCCCTGAGCTTACGCTGCTTTTTTACACTAAGCATAAGACCAATAGAATGTCTTCTAAGTTAAGCAAAAGTACTTTTTTTTTTTAAAGTCTGTTTCCCCCGATGTCACAGAGAGAAAACACCAAAAGCATAAAAAAGGAACTTCCAATTCCTCGACCTCTGTCCCAAACCACAAGTCAACCCAAATATACTAAGAAGGAAATCTCATTTCTAAAGCTTCCTTGTCTTGACTATTTCAGTTCTTGCTTCCCAAATGGCATTAAAACAGGGCTTTCCCCAGAACTGTTCAATCCTAAGGTAGCTTGTCCTACCTCACATTCCTGAACTAAAAATAGATTCAAGTCAGAAGGACTTGTCTGCATGCATATAAGCACAACCATAGACACAGATGCTGCCGGGTGGGGAGGGGCGGGAGGCGGGGGTTGGAGGGGGCGGGGGGGGGGGGTCGATAGGGGGTGGGAAGGAGACATATGTACTATTATTTGTAATACCTTAATAAATAAATTAAAAAAAAAAAAACAGGCGAAACCGGTTTGGCTCAGTGGTAGAGCGTCGGTCTGTGGACTGAAAGGTTCCGGGTTCGATTCCGGTCAGGGGCATGTACATTGGTTGTGGGCACATCCCCGGTTGGGGGTGTGCAGGAGGCAACTGGTCGATGTTTCTCTCTCATCGACATTTCTAGCTCTCTATCTCTCTCCCTTCCTCTCTGTAAAAAAGTCAATAAAATATATTAAAAAAATAAAAATTAAAAAAATTAAAAAACAGCAAGGGACACTGTGGTGATGCAAGGCAGAACCTAAAACAGGATAGGCCAAGCTGGTCCTCTTTAGCACTTGGTGGGGGGTGGGGGTGGATGGAATAAATCCAAAAAGCATTGTTTTCAAGTTAGTAAACAGTCATTCTACCAAAGCATCTTATTTTTCTACTAAAATATTAAATCCCAACAAAGAAAAACGCTTTCCAATATTTACTGGTTGGAATGGTCTTCTCCTAGAGAGAGGTCTTATTTTAATTATTGTTGTGGTTTTATTTTTTTTAATAATTGACCATATCTAAAACTTACAAAATGCTATGACAATTTCATAATATGCCTGTATGTAAGCCCAAAATACATCCCAAAACAAATGCATTGAAATCTGAACACCACAGCTCTGCAATCTAAAATCCACCAGCAGTTACCTTTTAAAAATTTGTGATTTTAAATTAATTTTCATTTAAAAGCTCCAAAAGTCCTTATGCTTAAACTGCCTCCCATTTTGAAAATATATTAACCTCAGTCTACCACTGCCATCCTAGATAAAAGAGGCCCACATGTGGAAGGATGCCTTTTCCTTCAATCCTAACATTACAGCAAGAATGACTTAAATTCTCCTTCAAAGGTTTGACCTGAACACAAGTAAATATCCTTACTTCTCAGTACAATCCCATCACCAACTCGCCTGCCGAGAGAAGCTAAGTCAGCAGTCTGATACCACAGCTGCCCTGGCTGGTCACTGCCAACCACTTCGGCTCTGGATAGCCTACGACAGAACATAATGAATGGCATGAGCTAGCTTTGTCAGGTGCCAGCTGCTGTTCTAAAGGGTTCACATACACACTGAGTGGCCAGATGATGATGATCTCTGAACGCATAATAATCTGGCCACTCAGTGTATCTGTATCTCAAATGGGCACCAACAGTATTCTAGACTTTTGCTGGAGATCAATCACCTATTTGCCCTGAGCTTTCTATCAGCCAGTGCAAAGGGGAAAACTGATCAGGTACATGATTTATAGTATCTTTGGTATCAAATAAATGAGGTACTCAAGAGAAGTACACTGAGTGGCCAGATTATTATGGGTCCAGAGATCATAATAATCTGATCACTCAGTGTATATAAGCGTAGCTAATAACCCAAAGAGATGTATACATTTCTTTTCCCATTTTATTTATTTTTAAAATATATTTTATTGATTTTTTACAGAGAGGAAGAGAGAGGGATAGAGAGTTAGAAACATCGATGACAGAGAATCATCGATCAGCTGCCTCTTGCACACCCTCTACCAGAGATGTGCCCGCAACCAAGGTACATGCCCTTGACAGGAATCGAACCTGGGACCTTTCAGTCGGCAGACCGACGCTCTACCACTGAGCCAAACCGGCTTCGGCCCTTTGGGCATTTTAAATTACAACTTAAATTACAATGGATATTGTTATTAGTGCAAAAAATGCATAAATGAAAATGGAGATGATACTTAAGAAACTTCTATTTCCCCCCATCTTTCGTGTCCCTTCACATAATTTCTAATGCACATGAAACAATTATATAATTGCCACTCTAATCACAACATCTCAAGGCAAAAGACTACTTTATTCACAGTTCCCTAGATCAGCCATCACCAAGCTTTTTGAGTGTGAGGCCATCCATACAGAGTAAAAGTGAACGAGCAAAAAAAGCCCTTACAGATGGCCATCCGGGCCCCGAGTGGTCCTTAAGGGGAGGAAAGGGGCACTTCTGTTGATGAAATCCAGGGAATGCCGCCTGTTCTGTATCAAAGGTAAAAGATTCGTTACGTAAAAGTAAAAGGTTAATTAATCCATTAATGGCCACCAAGCACAAACCTAAAACAAAAAGCCCTAAGTGACACACCACTCTGCTCTGCACAACTGACGTTCCAAGTTCAAAGGGGCTGTGCACTGTCTCCCTGTGCAACCTGAGCTAACATCTTTACAAATTACTGCTGAAACCGAAGTACCATTCCTCTGATGGATCTGCACACAGTAAGAAAAGGGCTTTTTGAAAAAACATTTTTTTTTTTTAGCATTTTTAACTCTTTCCTTCATCTTCCTTCAAAAAAAGTATTTATTGTCTGCTTTGTTCTGAATGTTATTTCTCAATACCCTGAGCATGCAATTATCTATTTTTTAAAAGGCTAAGTGACCAACTGACCATCTGTCCATCCGATCGTCCAATTTAAAAATAAATGTTGGCCCTGACTGGTTTGGCCTGGTGGATAGAGCATCGGCCTACAGACTCAAGGGTCCCAGGTTTGATTCCGATCAAGGGCAGGTACCTTGGTTGCGGGCACATCCCCAGTAGGTGTGCAGGAGACAGCTGATCCATGTTTCTCTCTCATCAATGTTTCTATCTGTCCCTCT